GCCGCGCAGACTCGTGTTAAAAAATTGCAAGGGTTTCAAGGAATCCCACGATCATCGTACCAGAAACGGCGTTTTGGAAGGATTCAGGATTATGAGGGCGCAACAGTTTCACTGACTCGCAAAATTGAAGTCCCACGAAGGGCGTTCTGGCACAATTCAGGATGGTCAAGACGCAACAGTCAACTTGATCCGTGGCGTTGGAATCCCGAGAACAATGTTTTGGCATGTTTCCGTATCTTCAAACGGTTGTCTTCCAACGAAGCAATTTCCTCAGCGGAGATCAACCCGTGTAGGGGCATATGAGGAGGGAGCTTGGAGGGAGGGTAGATTTCAACATCGTTGATGGCTCTTTGATTTACACTGGTCCTCCTCCTCCTCCTCCTCCTCCCCGTCCTCCTCCCCTCGTCGTCAACGCAGCCATACGATTTATACTCAGCCCACACCGCTTACTCATTCGAGGGGTGGCGGGGGGGCAATCTTCCTCCGCGATCCCCAGGGGCTGGGAGCCGTCACGAGGGCGTGGCCTGAAGGGGCGAGGGGCGAAGAAAGACAACAGAAGGGCGGAGGCGACGTCCCCACCAGCTGCACGAAGCGCAGCGCCAACCCGCTGGCAGCGGGCGACCCCCGTGCCTCCTGGCTCACCCAGCACCAGGGACACAGGTCACCCCCACGAAGCCGCGCGGGGCACGCGTAGCGGGTGGGCGCGGGCGGCCTGGCCTGCACCCACAAACCCCTGAACCGAAGGGGGCCAGGCAGTACAAGCCTCAAGATGAGCCCCAGCCCGCAAGCCTAGGCCTCCTCCTCGGAACCCCGCCGGTGTCATCTAGCCTGGATCCCGACCCTGCAGCTTTCTCAGGGGCGCCGAAGAGGGGACCAGGCCGTGGAAAGCGGGGGGTCACTGTCTTTCTGAATTTCCTGAGGTGGATGAGGCCCTTCCTCCGCTCCTCCTTTGCTCGACCTGCGGAGGCTATGCTGCGGTCTTGGCAAGGGCTAGGGGTCTCCAGGATTTGTGTGAAGGCTCGGCTCGTTCCCGAAGGGGAGCAGGCAAGACAAATTGCAGGCAAGAAAAAATCGTCCAGTTCTACCTGGATGAATCACTCGAATCGTCCGCGCAGGTTGGGCCCTCTTCCTCCTCCTCCTCCTCCTCCTCCTCCTCCTCCTCCTCCTTCGCCCTCCCTCCCTCCCTCCCTCCCTCCCTCCCCCCTCTCTCCCTCCCCCCCTCCCTCCTGCCCTCCTGCCCTCCCCCGTCCCCGTCCTCCCCCCTCCTCCTCGACCCCCCGCGGCGGCGGCGGCGAGGCCCGCCCCCGCGGACTCTGGGGCCTCGTCGAGGCACAGCGGAGTACGGTCGGTGAGGCCGCCGCCGCTGGGCCTCGGAGTCTCGGAGAGGCCGGCGCCGGCCGGAGGGCCGGGGATCGGAGCGGCGGTGTTTTGGCGTCCACAGCGCAGGAGCAGGAGCTGAACACCTCACCCTCGAGTGGCGGCGCGCACAAGGGGGGCAGGGGGAGCGACGATCAAAAGCGGGTCTTACGCGAGATGGCATGGCGACCTTACGCGGTTGCTTACGCGGGCCGCCAGCGCCGCACGCTGCATTGGAAGCGAGGTCGCTTACGCGCGAGCTTACGCGGGCAGCTTACGCGCCAATGCCGGCGCAGACGACCCCGTTTTCTTACGTCGCTCAAGTGGCGGCGCGCACAAAGGGGGGGCAGGGGGAGGGGGGAAGGCTTCTTCGAAGCACCCTGCTGCTTAGAAGGCCCTCTGGCCTTGCGTCTAGGGAGCAGGCCAGCGTCTTCCGAAAAGCAGGGATGCTTCTAAGAAACCTTCCCCCCTCTCCACCCCCTGAAGTCGACCCGTCTCAGAAGGATGCGCGATAAGGATGCAGGGGCCTTGGCAGGCCGTTTCGAGGCTTGTCGAGCGGAGCGCGGCAAACGAAAGTGGCCGAGGGTGGACCGAGGAGGCAAGGATACACGGGTACACCATTGGGAAAATTGCCCATCCTTACCATGCGGATTGACTGTACCCCCCCCCCTGGCTGCTCCACGGCGCGAGACGGAGGAAAGCAGCACGGCCGCGGAGCCGCGGGGTCGACGAGCCAATATGCGTTGCAGACCGGGGATCGGAGCGGCGAGGGGGCTTCGGGCCTCGGGCGGGGGAGGCCACTGGCTGCGGGGAGGAGCGTCTGCCTGGCGCCAAGGCGAAGCCAGGACAGGGACGAGATCGGACACCAGACAGGGATGACCTCAGATGGGACGCACAAAGACATGCTCGTACTATATGTCCTCCTTGGAGGCGCGCGTCCGGCCCGAGCATATAGTATACGCATCTTGTAGTATATCGCTTCACGAGCGGTGTGGCCAAGAAGTGCCCGCCACGACGCATATACTATAAGATTTCTCGGTGCGCGCGTCACCCCTAGGGGGGCAACGCACACATAGTATCAGTATGCTGGGGTGACGCCGATCAGAGATCCGGCGGTTCTGGAGGACGAGTGTCGGGCGCAGCGGCCTTCCCAGAGCGTTGTGGGATGCTCTGGGAGCATTTCAGGGCGCTCTGGAACGACTTATCCCTGTCCTAGGTCCGCCCGACGTGTCCGCAAATCTCTGACGATGTGATTGCTTCAATCCTGGCGGTCTTCCTCCATTCCGGCATCTGAGGCCCGTTGTGGGGACCTTAAAAAGCCGGCCCTTGACGACAGACCACCCCCAGCGACGCGGTCGGGACCTCTGGCGTGCAGGGTGGTGGCGTGTCGGTTTGCTTCGTGGGGCGGGAGGCCAGGAAGAGCTCGGGAGGTTGATGCCTGGGGGCTGGGACGTGCTTGGCGTTCCGCGCCGAAGCGTGGTGGTCCAGAAATCGGCGCCGCGGAGAACGCTGGGCCAAAGTTCCTGACGGTGGTGCAGCCGCCGCCGCGCTGGCAGGAGAGCCGACTGACATGCCGCAGTCGTTCTTCAAGGGAGACGGGAAAGGCTTTGATGAGTTCTGGTTGACCCAAAAGAGGGTCTAGCTGAAAGGGGGTGGTGCAATAGATGTGGGGGGCAATAGTACTGCACATTTTTTGTACCAAATAAATTGTATTTCATTGTATTGCAACTAGTGCATTGCACGCGAAACTGCAGCAATACAATTGCGCACTGGAGCGAATTGCACGCCCCAAATCGATTGCAACCCCACAAATCTACCGCACCATCCGGAATGATGGTATGAGTGATGCTCAGGGTGCTCTCCACCGAGTGCAAGCTCGACGCGATGCAGGGCCTGGCCATCCTGGGCCCCGGATCTGTGGCGTACGCCCTCCTACCTTGGCCAGGCAGGCGTGTACACCAGTCCCGGGCCAGGGGTGGGGCGGCCCAAGATCGGTGCAACTGTGTGTAGTCGGCGTTCTCTCGTCTGGGATCGAGGTTCGAGGATCGGGGTTGCAAGATCCAGGCTCGAGGATCGATAATCGAGGCTTTCAAGCGCTTCTGGCTCCTGAATGCAAGAAGGGCCCATTTCGGGCCCCAGGGCCGCCAGAGTCCAGCCAGGATGAAAAACTCGTCAGGATGGACCCCAGGGCGGGATCCCGCGAACGAGATTGAGCGGAAGGAGTTTCGAGGAGCGAGGTTCGAAGATCGTTGACGTTTTGGGCCGTCGGAGGACGCAGCCGCGGCCCAGGCGCACCCCCTCGCAGCGGCCCAGGCGCCCCTCCTGGAAGAAGCGCTCGGGCCCGCAGGCGCCCCGCCGCCAAGAACGCGGCCGCGGCGGGCCAGGTCCGAGCCCGAGCCCGAGCCCGAGCCCGAGCCCGAGCCCGAGCTTGGGCCGCGATAGTTGGGGGGGCGATGAAGGGGATTTTTTTCCTCAGGCAAAGTCATGCGGTACAGATTTAAGTGTTTCGTCTGGCAATACTACAGGGTTAATACATCCTCTGGTCTGTCCCCGCTGGACTACGAACGCAAGTGTACACAAAGTGTCGACAATTGCTAAGATACATCATGTGGGCATGCGCTGTCCAAGGGAAAACTGAAAGTGCGGAGTATGTAACGTATGAAGGTATATCAAATGCTGGCCGTAAGACGGGGCCAGCGACCTAGCAGATCAGGTGTCGTCTCTCTTCTTTGCAGCACATGTGGACCGTAACGCGGGGCCCACTCCCTAGCATAAACGAGGCCTCCGCCGTCGGAGAGGCAGGGCCGAGCTCGCGCGCCCAACCGGTTTGCCACGCACCACCTCGGAAGACGAGGGAGGGCAGGGGCAGCAGGCAGACCTCGAGACGATTGGACAAAAACTGGCCCAGAACGCGTCCTGGGACCCGGACTCGGAAGATACGAACTCCCAGGAATTCGTATCTGGGACGCCCTCCGGACGCCCTCCCGCAAACTCTCGGCGAGGGGCAACTCGGGGGCCCGAAGTGTATGTCACGGTATCGGTGCATCAGAGGAACATAAAACCATCGAAATTCCTCAACATGAGTTTATGCTTCCAATGGTATCTTGCCTCGGCCCCGGCTCAAACGTAAGTGCCATGATTACGGCCTCCAGCCCACGGACACGTGGCAATTACCAACTAATGCCGGCATCCCGACCATCACCCTATCCAACACTTCATTGCAGACGCCGTCTGCGTCGGTGTTGTGCTCCCGGTAAACATGTTGCACTCTGACCTCGAGGACGCCGCTTCGTGCCCGGAGGGCCGCCAAAATCCCCAGCGCCTCTTCGTACAACACCCGCAACGAGGGCTCCAAGCATCTCCATGCTCCTTGGACTTGCCTTGCAACGAGAAGCGAGTCTATGTAGAAAACAAGCCGTGGAGCTGGAAACGCGGACGCGTGCCGGAGACACTCTCAAGAAAACCTGCAGATTCAGCATAATTGTTCGTGACATCTCCGAGGAATCGTCCCAAACACGCCGCTATGCGTCGCACTCCTGGCTCGTAGCGAACGCTCCCAGAGCTGGCTAAAGTTGGAGAGCCAGTGCCCTGATTGCGCGCCGCACCGTCTGAAGCATATGTACTTGCATCGGGTGCGAAGACAGGCGGACGGGATCTCAACTGTCGGCGTTCCTGCCGATCAGAGTTAACAGGGCTCCCTGTGACCCACGGGTCAGCGCATAATATTATTGCGTGTTGGACCAGGTCATCAAAAGAAAGAACAGCTCTCCTTCGAGCAATAGTCTTCGCAGGCGGGAAACCACGCTGGTGAAAGCGAGAACGCACTGCAAGATGGAGGCACTGGGCAGGTCAACTTGCAGCCATCTCTGTTGCGAAGTAAGGCTGGTATAAGGCTCTGGAAATCGTGCTAGCAATGACGCCAACGCTGGGCAAGAATCGCGGTGGTCCAAAGCATCCCCCTCCTCACAAAAACAGAAAGGACACGCCAACACTGGGCGCCTAAGGACCGGCGCCAGCCGGCGAGACGTGAGCTATCCGTTGAGCATCCTCCGCATATTAGCTATGCGGTGCTCACCTGGAATGCTCGTCGCCATTTTCCTCAAGTTGCTCTTGACTGCGTCCCAATTCAAGCCCCGGGGCTGGAGACGCATGCGTACAAGAAGCTCTGCTCTGTGTGCCTCGGCCGCAAGCATATCACGATGCAAATGCCGGTACGCCCTGGCCTCCCCAGCACGTCTGCTACCACCGCGCCCTCTGGCGCGCAGAGAGTCAGACACCGTGGGGCCCGCTATCGCATGAAAAGCATGGACAACGGAAGCAAAGCTTGTGAGTGGCCTCAAAGTTGGCCCTTGCCCGGCACGAAGTGTGTCCGCGCTCCATGCTGCAACGCCGTGCGCTCCGACTCCTTGACTCCTCTCCAAACGGAGAGACGCGGAGACAACTGCAGCAATATTAGCAAGGAAGGGGTCAGCTGCCTCAACTAACGTTTTGAAGAGTCCACGAGAATGGCAGAAAACTTGGAATGGGCACCAACGCACACGTTCCAAGAATGACAACGCTAACTCGCAGATTTCGGTTTGGGCTGCCAGGCTGAGCAGGTGAAATTTCATAAAGTATGACAACAAAGGGAGCGCGAAAACATTCCAGGCCAGCAGTCTCGTTCCCAAGCTTGTGCGCGTATGCCGCAAGAGTGCCAAACGCTGCCTTAGTTTCGCCATGGGCTCCGACAAAAGATCCGCTTCCACAGCATCGGGACCAAACCAAAAACCTAAGGATTTGTGGCGACGGACGATTCGGGGCCCAGGGAAAATACCGTGCAACCAGATCCGTTGTTCAGGCGTCATCGTCCTATTTGGTAGCCAGGCTGTTTTCCGTGGGTTGATCACTTGACCGGACGCTCGCTCGAAATTTCCAATCAACTGCACCACTGGTTCAGCAGCCTGCCGGGCAGCGAGCGAGATGTCCAGTCATCGCAGAGACCCCAAATGCCCGTGGCCCAAGGCAACTGCCCTGCCTGACATAAGAAAGGGCCGACGGCAATTATGCACACAAAAACGCTCAAGGGGTGGCCCTGGTCAATCCCGCGACGAAGGCAACAGGTGGGGGCACGTGGCCGGAGAAACGCAGGTGCGCAGTGCGATTGTGCATCAACTGGAAAATGCCATGCGCAAGTGCGGGGGGCAAGCGCGCCTTCTGGAAGACAGCCTGCACCCACTCCCACGACAGCGTGTTAAACCCCTTCTTGCAATCAAGAAACAACAGAAACGCAACGAAGACGGATCACGCTGCGCTAAAGCAGCTGCTTCTGATATTCCAATCACGTTGCGTTCTATCTGCCCGCCAGACACGAAAACTTGCTGTCGCTGTCGCAATTGCTCCGAAACTCGCCGGTCCAATATCTTTGCGAAAAGGCGAGCTAAAACTTTGGCATCCTCGCTTGGCAGCTCAAGGTCTCTCGCCAAGGCTGCCGCGTCAGCACCTTGCCGCTTTGGCATGGCAAGCCAAGCGAAATCGGTGAGATGACTTGGTGCTGCGCAGCGGCCTTGCGTAAGTTCGGCAAAGGCCTCGGCGAATACAGGCGCAAGAACAAGGGCATGAAGTTTGCACAGGCGCCCGCGGACATCAGTTGTACCAGGGGACTTGTGCTCATGCAAGGACAACAAGACATCAATCACATCAGGCACCGTGACGCAAGCATCGCACTCGCTCAAATCAATGTCCCAGCCTTCCAGCAGGCGCTGGAAACTAGCTGAAGATCCTCTCGGCGATCCTTGCCTCTTCAAGGCTTCTTCGCACAACTGTGAACCGATCTGCGCGAGCGAATCCACATAGCAGGCGCGTTCTTCATCCCAAAGCTGGCGCGCATCAAAACGTTGAGGCCGACACACCTGCTTTAAATGTGTCATCGCGACGGGTGAGGTTTAGAGCCCATGAGCGTTCCCCCGGCGGAGGGCCCGCTGCCAGCCAAACCCTCGACGACCCCATTCGGCCCATAAGCGCCATCATCCTCATCATTCTGCTCCAGCAAGATTTGGTCGTGAAGGTCCCACAAGTGGCCAAGCAAATGTTCAACGCCCGTGATGCGCATGCAATCTCTTTGCGTGTCAAACTCGGTTCAACAATGCTGCCTAAATGGGGATATATTCTCAACCACTTCGAGAAACGAAGTGGGTCTACCTCCTGATTCCCCACGGCAGCGATGTACATGGAGAGCGCAACATCAAAACGATGCGTTGCGAGCTGCGCTGTGCCAACAACGTGTGTCATATAGTCTTTGGCGCATTGCTGAGCGAAGTCTCGAAATTCACACAACCCCATCAAACCTTCGCTTCTCGAGCCAGCCCACTCCTCAACCTTCGTCGCGAAGTCTCGCAAGGAAGAAGTGTCGTGCATCAACCAATCTGGCATAGGCTTCATTACACTGGCCTGCTTAAGTCTCTCGGGTCTTCTCCCCGGCCTTCTCCGGAAAGTGACAGATACAGGCATGTGATCAGTTGTATTCGGATGCGGAATGCCTCGCACTACAGCAACAGCCCGCTGACGGCGGGCGTGCCTAAAGAGATCAGTCCCCACTCGAGCAAAGTCGAGCGTCTCACTGACCCACCATTTGCCGCCCTCCCTGTCGCGTCCGGTTCTCCGAAACGTGCGGTCCTCCAGCCCCCCTGCTTCCGAAGCCCCTAAAACGTGCAACAAGTCTTGCCATGCCTGTAACATTCCAACCCTGGGATGCCACGATCCCCCTGAAGAGGTGGAATGCTGTTCTGGCGCAACAACGAAGTTCCGATCTCCCCCAATCACAAACTCAACACGTTTGCCATCAAATTCAGACCGAAAAGCCCGCAAGGAGCTAATCAATAAGCGCAACTCTCGGCATCGCACTGTTGACGAATGACTGTTTAAATACAGGTTAACGTGCAGCCGGACTACTGGCCCTAACTCGTACCAGAATCCGCGAGCAGCACTGTCAACCAACACGCGATGATGTCTTTGCAGATCCGCATCCTCAGAAAGGCCGACCCGCTGCAGGAAACGAGTCGTGAGGCACAGAGCCAGGCCAGGAAAAGAAGTCGAACAATGAAACACACATGTGGCATTTCGAACATGCTGGAAAAAAAAATCGGCCGCAGTGGCTTCAGACGCATGGAGCTCACTCAGACCAGCAATTTCAAAACGATCGGCAAGATATTGGACATTAGCAACTTTTCTGTTGAACTGAACGCGGCCAGATAAACTCATGTAGCGCAGATTATAATATGCAGTGCTTGCGAAATCGGGGTCCACCTCTCTACACTCAAGCGGTCGTTCGTCCGCCATCATTGTTTCGAGGTTTCGTCTAACTGGCCTTTTGGGCCAGACTTCGTATAACGCTTATCGATGAAACTCCCGACTTCACACTGCAATTGTCCTGCGCTCTTGTTGCTACAACTGTTAAAAAAAACTGCATTCAAAACTGTCCTTGCCGATCAAATACCAATCCCTTGCATGCACTGTTCCGTTATCATCTTTCCTTTTGTGCGGGCATGGCCACGCACTACAAAGGCATATCTGTGTAGTGGCAGCACTGTTAGCCGCTCCCTTGAAGTCAGCAGCCCATTGTTTCTGGACTGCCCGTGCTCGTTCCCGCGCTCCCTCAACTCCGTATTTTTTGACGGAGAAGAAGCGCTTACCCGATGTTATGTATCTTGGCAGCCTTGTGATATACGTCAACGCATCCCCCTTCTTGGCCAGGCCATTTCCTTTGCGTAACAACAGGTTCCCCTTCATACAAGTGTGACAAATTGGCTGAGGTCCGGCCCAAGGCAATCATTTGACCAACGAGCTGAGAAGTGCACGCGTCATCCGGGTGTCGCTTGCGTGTTTCAACGACTTTAGCAACAACCCGCATGTTATCTTCAGCGCCTGTATCCAAAGATACGAAACATCCTGGCTCAAGTGTGTTCGAGAAGTCATCGTTCTCATCTGCAACATCATCGAATTCCTTCTTCAATGCCCGCCCTGCACCCGTCTCGGTACGCCATCTTTTGTGGGCTGGGGCGTTTTCAGCATTACCTGCGAACAAAGACAAATCGAGCGAGTCACTACGCATGCGATCGCACAACACATTCAACTCGTTTCCAAAGGCAGCATCTATTTGCTCAAATGCAGCCTCGAGCTTATTCGAATCAATATCATGTGCAACCTTATTCACCAAAGCTTCCTGTGGAGCTGTTCTCTGAGCATCTTCACACAAGCCGGCGAAACTACGAGCATCTGGCAGTGGGGAAACGCCCGGCACCCCGAGGGACACAGGGGATTCCAAGTCAGGGAGGGTCACAAGTGGGGTGTCTTGAGGCTTGGTTGTTTGGACGGCCTCTTCAAACCGGAATTGCAACGGGTAACGTGCCGACCCCGTATTCACAACCCATTGGGCGTTACAGAGCAGCTCACGACACGAATGAGGCACAATAACTTTCAATAGCGCTTGCGAACTATTGCAATGCATGTGCACATCATGAGCGCTTACACCCAAGGAAGAAAAAAAAAACCCGCACCACATCAACATGACAATTCGGATCAATGTGAGCATGCAACCGTATGCAGTTTGCTGGCAAGAAGCCCGTTGAGGTGCCAACGCTAAGCAACTGCATCGTGCTACCAGTTTCGCCGATCATCCGGATGACCCAAGACGCATCGTTGGAGAGGCGGCTGTGGAAAGCTGCTATTCGAGCAAGAACAGTTTCCAGCGACGCGCCTTTCCCTCTGAAGGCCAGCCATTGTTTTGCCTCGCGAATGCAGTGCGCACCATTTTGAATCGCAATTGGTGCCAATTCAAGAAGCAACGATTGTATGTGCTCATTGGGAACGAAGACTTGCATGCTAGGCTGTCCATAGGAGTCTGCCCCCCATACCAATGATCCGCAAGAAACTGCATGCACCCTCATCGCCTGAATACTGTCCAGTGTGCCTGTGATCACATAGCGATGCATGCCATCTCTGTGTTGTCTCAAGCAAGTGTGGATTCCCCGTCGTTGTAGCGCAGTTTCAAGCTCAGCTAATCTTCGTGGGCCTTCAACCGAGATTTTGCCCAGAGGGCCAACTTGCACATGACATTCTTGGGGGACCCCCTCCCCCTCAAAAGTTTCGTGCGTTGTCACAGGGACCTCAAATGAAGAGCTGGACCCAATGCCCATCAACGAAAATACATACAAGTACGACGACGAATTGTCATTCCGGTGATCCTGCCACCCCCCTGGCCGGCTTAAGATTTGCAACTTCTGCAATGCATTGCAGAATCGCTTAGAAGACAAGCCAGGTGTTGGCGCAGACAACGCATTCTGCACTTTTCCGTAGAAGCCTGACGGGCTTCTCACAATCTCCACAGCAAAAACACGTTCTGTTAGTTTGCGCTCTCTCAACGCCTGTTTCAGAACAGGGGCCGATGTACACTGAATCCAAAGGTTCTGAGGTCCTTGCGCCAAGCATTGCAGAAATGCGTCATAATCATCATTACGATGTGTGCGTGGGTTTTTAGGTAGTTTGTCGTGCCATTCAGGAGCAATAAAAACATGATCAACTGTTACCCCAAGCTCTGAGCAGCTACGCTGAACAGCGCCTCCTCGGACACAATGTCGTTGCCACCTTGCCTATTGCTCTTGCCCTGAGTTCCTGTGTTCCTAAGTGGTGTGGACAATCCTTGCACTGGCACGGTTGGTCCTGGATGGCTTGCCTCTCCGATCCTGAGGGCCCGAAGCCCGTACCGGGCCTCAGAGCGCGAGGAGCGTCCTACCTTCAGGTTGAAGCCGATCACATTGTCGTATGAGTTCGTCACGTCTGGCTGCGGCGTCGAAGTCGTCGTACCCGTCATCGTCCTCGTCGCCGAATCTGAAGCTGCCCTGCTGCCCAGCGGCCGGCGGCGCTGGTGGGGCGGCCTCAACTGGATCTGCTGCTCGCTGCTCGGGGGCCGCTGGTTGAGCTGCGCCGGGGAAGCCGCCGAAGCCGTCGTTGTCCGAGCCGTCATCTTGATCCGCGCCTCGTTGTCCGGGGGCCGCAGGCCTGGCTGCGTCGTAGAAGTCGCCGAAGTCTTCGGTATGATCGTCCGCATCATCCCGATCTGCACGTCGCGAGCAGGTGTTAACAAATCGTGCTGTCTGCGGCGCCTCGCTGGAGAGGCCCCCGAAGTCGTCATCTTCGTCGTCCAGCTCGAGCGCCTCCTGGAATTCACGCTGATGTCGTACTCCGACTTGCACCCGCCACTACACGCCGGGCAGGCCGCCGAGGCCACGGCGCCAGCAGGCACCGTGGTGGCCTGGAAGACCACCCCATGCCGCTCGAGCACCTCCATCAGCGCGGGGTCGAAGAGCAGGTGCCACAGGCTGCCCTGCAGGATGTGCGGCTTGATCTCCGCCATGCCCGCGAGCGCCTCCATCTGCCGCGGGTCGAAATTCGAAACGCCGATGCTGCTGATCAAGCCCTCCCTGTAGAGCTGCTCCAGCGCCCGCCAGCTGCCCTGCCAGGCGTCGGCGTCCAGGTGCGGCGCCGGGCCGAGCCGCCGCACCTCCTGGGGGAGCTCGGCCTCCTCCTCCTCGCACCTCATCCAGGACACGTCGCTGCGGCACCTCGGCCAGTGCAGCAGGACCGCGGGCCTGCGCGCGCCGTCGCCGCCCAGGCCCAGCCGCTCCAGGGACTCCCCGACCGAGAAGAGGGTGCGCTCGAATCCCAGGTGGGTGTGCCACACCTTGGTGAGCACCGTCACCTCGCTCCCTCTGTCCGCCCGCCTCAGGGCAGCGGCTACGATGTGCTCGTTCTTGGAGGCCGCGGCGGTGTCGATGAGTCGGACCCCGTGCCTGTCGACCGCCGCCACGACCGCCTCCTCGATCAGGTCGTGCGCCAGGTTCCCGACGCCGAGGCCCACCAGCGGCAGCGCCTCCCCGCTGGACAGGCGGACGGTGGGCGCCTCCTCCGCGGCCGCCGCGCCAGCGCCCGCACGCCCGGCAGCGGCGGCGAGGGCGACCGCGGCGCAGCGCAGCGGCCGCGGGCGCTCCGGGGGCCGGCGAGCCATGGCGATCCCTAGGCGTCCGAAGCCGCCTGGGATGCTCAAAAATTTCCCCACAACCATCCGCCGAAGGCCCATCAATATCTTGAAAAGCATGCTACGCGTTGCAACCGATAGACTATGTGCAACCGCCGAGCCCGTGTGTGCTCGAGCCCGTGTGTGCTTGAGCCACACGGGCTCGGGGCGATGAAGGGGAGGGCAGCGAGGACGCAGAAAAGGAGCCCTTTCGGGCCCTTGGAAGGCCCTTTGGGGCCCAACAGAGGGGCCCTCAGGGCCCGAAAAGGCCACCTTTCTTCCCACCCCCCCATCTACAGTCGGACCGAGGCCAGAAGAACATCCCCGAAGAACATGAGCCCCTCCGCTGGCCAAAGCACACAGAACATCCAAGGGCACCCTCCCCAGGATGCACCAGAACATGCAATAAACACGAAGAACATGAGGGTACCCTCGCCAAAACGACCTCGATCTTATACCTCGGTATGACTAGATCGCCCCCCATTACCCTGATCATTGGATGCTGGAATGTTACAGTCGCGACAATCGAGAACGGTCGCTACCGATTTTGCTTCAAATATCGGTATCTATCGCGACCGATCTGCTTCACAAGCGGTCGCGACCGATCGGTCGCGACCAATCGGTCGCGATCGGTGGCGACCCGTCGCGACCGAGTCTAGGATCGGTCGCAATCGGTCGCGACCGATTTGGAGTGCCGATCGGTCGCTACCGTTCGCGACCGAATCGGCATCCTATGATCTGCGCAAGCCGCGCCCAACGAGCCCGAGCCCGCGCCTCGTCGGGCGCCCGCGCCCACGCAGCGGCCGAGGCCCGCCGCCCCCCCCCCAGAAGCGCTCTGGGCGGCGAGCGAGGGGGGGGGAAATGAGAAAGAGAAGGCCTGCTCAGAAGGCGGCGGCGCCTTCTGAGAAGTGTTCTGCGCCGTCGGGGGAGGCTGCGAAAACTTCTCCAAAGACGCCCGAGCCTTCTGAGAAGCCCCGCCCCTTCTCACTTCCCCCCCCCTCGCTCGCCGCCGAACTCTGGCTCCCAAGGTCTGCGGCGCCGGGAGCCGACGGCGCGCGGCAGGAGCGGGAGGCCAAGCCCCGCGCGGCCGCGACGGGCACGGGCACCTCGCGGCGAGCCACGGGGGGGGGGGGCGAGGGACGAGTTCGTCGTCCTGGTCGTCGTCGTCCTCCTCCTCGTTGCTCCTCTTCCTCATCCTCCTCATCCTGAGCCTCGCATTACTTGTCGTACTGCTATCCAAGCTTAGTGTTATTCTCATGTTCGTATTATTCCTCCGAATAGTACCATGATTACTGACGTTATGCATATTATGTTCTGCCGTAGTAGTAGTAGTAGTAGTAGTAGTAGTAGTAGTAGTAGTAGTAGTAGTAGTAGTAGTAGTAGTAGTAGTAGTAGTAGTAGTAGTAGTAGTAGTAGTAGTAGTAGTAGTAGTAGTAGTAGTAGTAGTAGTAGTAGTAGTAGTAGTAGTAGTAGTAGTAGTAGTAGTAGTAGTAGTAGTAGTAGTAGTAGTAGTAGTAGTAGTAGTCGTAGTCGTAGTAGTAGTAGTAGTAGTAGTAGTAGTAGTAGTAGTAGTAGTAGTAGTAGTAGTAGTAGTAGTAGAGTAGTAGTAGTAGTAGTAGTAGTAGTCGTAGTCGTAGTAGTCGTAGTAGTAGTAGTAGTAGTAGTAGTAGTAGTAGTAGTAGTCGTAGTAGTCGTAGTAGTAGTAATAATAAAAATATGAATGTGAATATATGTGTTAGACTAGTATACGTATATACATACTTTAATAGTAGTCGTATGTGTCGTCTGGTCCATAATCGCATTAGTTTTGTGATGCTTATTCATTTTACGTATTGTTGATATTAGTAGTGGTAGTGGCAATAATATGATTCGTCATCTTACCGTTTGAATTTAACACCGCGCGTAGTATTGTTATTAGTGTGCCTACTGTTGTTTGACTTATTATTAAGATAATGTTTCCTCCTCCTCCTCCCCATTCGAGCTGCGAGTTGCGGCTAATATCGACCGATCGCCCCGATGCCCTCGATAACCCTCCTCCCAGCCGGGGCCGAGAGATTAGAAGAGAGAAAAAAAAACTGCCCACTGAGAATGACGATGCACCTCGGGGGGGAGGAGGAGGTGAAGAGGAGGCGGCTCCTGTATGCGCCGGCGCTGTGCTGGCGCTAGGGTGAATCGAGCGCGGGCCCCAGCCAACTGGGGGAAGCTGAGGCCCACCTCGGCGCGCCTTTGCTTGAGCGGGGGCCCGCATCATGCCTAGCCTGCCCGAGGTCCGCGAAGAAGTGGACAGAGCGTGGTGCCCCCAGCTGCGGCGCGGCAGTCTCGGCGGAGAGAGCGGCGGCGGGGGGGGGGGCGGGGCGTGGCGAGGGAGCACCGTGGAGAGCACGAGGTCGCGGCCGGGCGTGCGGTAGAGGAGGAGTGAAGGGGTGAGGTGGTGGGCCAATTTTCCATCATCACTACCATCGTTGGGACGGGGGAGATGGGAGGATGGGAAGGTCGTCGTCCTCCTCCCCCCCTTATCCTCATCGTTCTTCTCCTCCTCCTCCTCCTCATCCTCCTGCTGCTCCTCCTCCTCTTCCCTCTCCGACCTACGTATGGTAGTGGTGGAGGAAAGCCAGCCCATCATGAGGGGGTCGAAGTGGCCCGAGCGGGTCCCTCGCCCTCCGAGGGGGGGGGGGGCGAGGAGCCCTCGGATTGGATCTTGAAGGCTGGCGCAGCCGCCTGGTCCACGTCCGCCGCGGGGGCTATAGCCCCCCACGGCGGCCCGTGCCGAGCTCGACCCTTCCGGTCCTCCTCCTCCTCCTCCTCCTCGTCTTCTTATTGTTATTATTCTTCTTCGCATTATTATTATTGTTAGTATTATCATTCGTCTTCTTCTTCTTCTTGTTATTTGCATTGTGCTTCGTTTTATGATTAGCCTATTATTATTCCTCCGCCTCCTCCTCCTCTTCCTTCTCCTCCTCCTCCTCGTCCTCCTCCTCCTCCTCCTCCTCCTCCCCCTCCTCCTCCTCCTCCTCCTCCCCCCTCCCAGGTGGCTTGGCAGCGCGGCCCGCAGCCGTTGCCCCGCGGCGGCCAGCCCGCGGCGCCATAGCCCCCAGGCCCCACGGAGGGCCGCAGCAGCCGCCGAGAGCGCTCCCCTGCCTGGCACCGCAGGGAGCGCCGGCGGCGATCCAGCGCCAGAAGGCGCCTTCGGCAGAAGAAGGAATTCCTCATCCTGCAGCAGCACCACGGAAGCATGGCGCCGACCATCCAGTGCGCGCGCACAGACTGCGAAGGATGTGGTGAACTTCGATGGGGAAGAAAGAGCTGGTAGTGTACGAAGTGCTGGAAGACAGCCAAGCCACAGCCACAAGAAGTCACCAAGCCAGAGTATGAAGCAACGTGGACAAAGTCATGGACCAAGAAGCAGTGGAAGGGCTGGCAGAGACGTCAAGGCCATTTTGGCGAGTGGAAGCAAGACGACGAGGACGCACAGGACGTGAACGTCGACTACCTCACGAAGACGCTCGAACAGCTGGTGACAAAGCTGAGCGGAGGCCCGACAAATCCTGCGATCGGGAACCACGTCTCGGCTCTGACAGCGCAGATCGCCAAAGAAAAGGCATGCCAGGAGCAGGCACCGCAGAAGTCGAAGGCCATGAGTCTCGCTGAGGCAGCCAGCGACCTTGAGCAGGCGAACAGACGCTACACACAAGCACATGATCTACGAACAGCACCTCGCCAAAGGAGACCGACTACGAGCTGAAGCTGAGGAGGCAGCCGAGAAAGTCCTAGAGGCAGAGTGCGCGATCCAGAAGACACATGAGGAATACACGGACAACACGAACCAGATGCAGGACATGCTCGAGCAGCTCATGCAAGGGGACATAACGAAGATAACAGAGACGGCCATGAAGAGTATAGAGGACGAGCTGGCGGCAGACGACGACCTAGACAGCGAGGCCATAACGGAGATCGTCAAAGCCAAGCAAGACCTCATCCAGAGGACGAAGAACGAAGCGCAGAAATTCAAGGGCCACCTCGACGCTTCGTGAAGGACGCAAACGAACGGGCAAAAGAACGGCGCAAAGTCATCAGACCAAAGAGCGAAGAGAGGGAAGGCAGATAACGGACAGCCCACACGAGAAGCAGACCCCGCAGCGGCAGGCGCAGAGGCCACGAGCGCACCGACTGCCACACCTGAGACAGCTCCTCCCTCCTCCTCCTCCTCCTCCTCCTCCTCCTCCTCCTCCTCCTCCTCCTCCTCCTCCTCCTCCTCCTCCCTCCTCCCTCCTCCCTCCTCCTCCCTCCTCCCTCCTCCCTCCTCCTCCTCCTCCTCCTCCTCCTCCTCCTCCCTCCTCCTCCTCCCTCCTCCCTCCTCCTCCTCCCTCCTCAAAAGAGCGGCACCGAGACGGACATCCTGGAAAAGAAGAGGCTAGCGAAGGCAGCGGGCAAAGGAACAACCAGAGAAGAAGAGGGCATCAAGTCGGGGCGCGAGCGAGCAGCCGACGCGGCGCCCTGACGACACCTCTCCTTCGGCAGCTGCACTCGGTGGGGACCCGAGGCGCACAGATGGTCAGGGAATGCACTCGAGAAGAAGCCAGGGGACAACGGCTACTTCGACGCGTTCGCCTTCCAGGAGACGCACCTTGGGCGCGAAGAGGTCGAGCAGCATGAACAGACTCTACACAACATGGGGTTGAAAGCAGTCGCATGTGCAGCGAGACCATCAAGAACATCTGCAGCGGGGACCTACGGTGGTACGAGTATTGCAATCAGGTCACACCACCAATCTTCTACCTTCAGGGAAATCGCCTCACGGGAGTCCGTCAGCGGCACCACAGCTGGCACCCTGGACATACATGAGGACGGACTACAATTCTTAGATTGGGTGCCGATGGCATGGCACCTCCAAGGTTTCACACTCATAGCCATCAGTATATACATCGACGGCAACTGCGCGATATTACACGGCACACATGGCCGCAAGATAGCTACGCTCACGAAATGCTTATGTAGCGTCAAACAGCCTTGGGTCATCGTAGGCGACTGGAACCACACGCCATAGCAGGTATGGGACACGGGATGGCTCATGCAGCTTGGCAGCAAGGTATGGACTTTTGCCAGAAGGTTCCTGTTCGCGTTTCAAGCGCGGCAGCGAGCCGCTCCTCATGGACTTCGCGCTGGTCAGCTACCACGCGGAGCAACACATCAGCCACACCATGGAGATCCTAGATGTACCCTGGAGGCCGCATATCGGACAATGCTTAGTCGTTAACGGGGCGATCCAATACAACGTGGTCAGAAACCTCACGATGCCGCGCCCGTTCAGACACCCGAAGTTTGCGAAGCAACTGCCCAACCCAGACAGTAAGAGGCAGAAGAAGCTGACCAAGCAGAACGAGGAAGTTTCACAACGTAGAGAACAACACGACGAATTTCGACTTCAGCGCCAAGCAGAAGAAGCATGCTGGGAGGCACTCACACCTTGCGGATGGACTGGGTTTCCCACAGAGGCGCATATTAGTGAGGAGGAGAAGGCGACAGTCCATGAGGCCAAGCCGTCCCATCCTCGCGGGGGTATCCAGGCATGCTTGCAGGAGGAGAACATGGACCCCTTCGACGAGCTTGACAACTGCCTGGACATGGAGGATCATATACACGAACAACAGGACCTCGCACAAATGCCGATGGAGATGCTTCTCGAGCAGTTGGGGTGCGACACCGACCGCGAGGACGAGTCAGAGGTCAACCCAACTACGAGAAGCGTCAAGCCAGAATGCGACACGCCTACCACCAGCATGGACGACATATGGCACTGCATGGCGCAATTACCTCCACAACCGACCACCGCCAACAGTACACCGCCCATGAACATCACTGAGAGCGCCACCTTCAAGGCCACCGGGTGCGAGGCCGTGAAGCTGGGCGAGCAATATCAAGGCTCATGCATGACATGGAGGACTTCTACTGCGCGGCCTACAGCATCCCGATCAAGGAGAGGCGCATGTTCAAAGGAAGGGGCATCCCGAAGGAGCTGAAGTGCAAAGAGCAGAAAGAACGAGGACCCAGGCACGCAAGACAGAAGGACCACAACGCAGACTGGTGGCACGGAACGGCGAACACCCTGAACACGATCGAGCAGCTCAAGAAGCGCACCAGGGGCAATGAAATACAGAACAGGGCGGCCACGACATGCAGACTACTCGCCATAGAAGGAATACCACCACTCGGCCACCAGGCATCGGCAACGGCACGGCTTCACAGGAAGATTTGGAAGACGAGACTACTCAGCATCGACAAGCAGGAAGTAGACATCATCGAGGGCATGCGACGACAAGCGGAGCAGCAGGCACATAAGACCCTCAAAGACGACATCGCGAACGGCAGGAAGGCACACATCAAATGGATCGCGACGACAGCCAAGGAATCGCCAGGGAAAATGCACACCATCACGAAGGACGGGAAGCGATACGAACAGGAGCTACTAGACGAGTTGGACAAGAGACACTCACCAGTGGGCAAGATGGACGCCAAGCGGAAGATCTTCGAGAGCATCTGGAGAAATGGGCACGGCGCTGCAGACGTGGAGCTCCTCAAGGACCTCAGACGCGCAGCACGGCGGACAGCGACGCCAGTGTGGTCACTAGAACAATTGGACCAAGCCATACAAGAAGCACCGGATAAAGGGAAAGGAATAGACCAGATGTGTATGACAGACCTACGCCGGATCCCACCACAAGGTCGCAGCAGCTGCGTGAACTTGTTCAACGCCTGCGAGGAGAACATCGCCTGGCCATGGCAAGTCCTAGAGGCAATCATCATGCTGGAGCCCAAAAGAGCCAGCCAACCTACGCACCACGCGGTCAGCACAGGCGGCGACAGAGCATTGGCTCTACTCAGTTGGCTTGGCGGGTGCTGGGAACTACTCAATCGAGAACAGGCGCGAGATGGGGTCAAAAAGATCAAGATGCCACGGGATGCCGCGGTGCCAGGACTGAGCTGCTTACGAGAAGCCATGCTCAGAATCATCGACGACGAGACCGCAGACGCCTTAGACGCCACCACGGCAGGGGCCCTCATAGACATCGAGAGGTTCTACGACAACGTCCAGTTCGAGTACACCGCGCGAGCAGCCCAGCACTTCAGCTTCCCGACGCGCATATTGGCCATGTCGCTGATACAGCACATGACATCGCGACTCCCACGACAGGAAGGGCGCTACAGCGAGCACACGCTGGCCAGCAAGTCCCTCCTGGCGGGCTCACGCCACAGCAATAACTTGGCAAGGGCCCTGGTATACATCACGATCACGAGACACCTGAACGAAGAACCGACGTCAAACCCCAGGATACGGTTTGACGACACCAGCCTCAGGGCAACAGGAAGCAAGACGGCAGCGGAGCAAGACATCGCACGACACGTAGGTTCGCTCAACCTGCAGCTGTCAAATAATCATCCAAAGATGGCGGAGAAGTCGGTGGTATTCGGCCCAACCACCAAGAGCACCGCCAACATCACCAAGAAGCTCGCCAAGTTCAACATCAAGGTCAAGCCAGTCAGAGAAGGCAGGGACCTAGGACTCGACCGTGGCGCGCGGCCTCTCACCACACGTGCCACACACAGAGTCAGAGCAACGAAGGCGGGCAAGCGATTCAACATGGTAGGCAAGAAGCTGAGGCAGCTGAACACCAAGCAGATCAAGGGCATCGCGGAGCAAGGGGCGATGGCATCGATACTGCACGGGCGCAGGGCGTTCGGCAGCTCGCCATCCGAGCTGAAGCGCATCAGAAGGCAGTACGGCAAGGCACTAAGACGAACCTGGACGGGAGGATGCGCGGGTTCTCTCCTGGCGATAGAGGGAACGACCCAGCGCGAACAGCGCCACGAGCCCAACTTGCTGCTTGGTTCGACCTATGGGCCCGACATCCCGGAATCCACGAAGCAGTACACTGAGCATGGCCGATCATCCGCCGGCGAATGCTACAAGGTTCGAGAAAGGGAAGATGGAAGAAGAGGAGAGGCATCATTGGCAGTCTGATCTTGCAGCTGACCGAGCTCGGTTGGGACCCCACAACTCCAACGAGATGGATAGACAACAACGGCGACCAGTGGGCCATGGAGAACGGACATGAGGAGGACCCGACGGACGTCGTCGACCACGTCATGAAGGACGTGGAGCGCAACATCTGGACCAAAGCGGCAAAGCACCACAATGGGAAAGGCCTGGAGCAAGGAGCGGACTTCACGGACGTCAAAAGACAGATCAACAAGCTCAAGAGGAACGGCAAGTACCAGGACTACGGAGCACTACTCGCGGCGGTCTGTGGTGGTACTTGGACGGGAGCGCGAAAGGCGGCGGCATTCGGCACAGCGGGTGCGTGCAAGTGCGGGGCGCTGGACACGGACTTCCACCGCATCTAGGAGAATTGCAGCCAGAAGAGCGACCACATGGACTACAAAGACACAGACCACTTGCTGGAGCGTGCTAGGACGGGTGCAGAAGTACTACCAGCGCTATGGCTACGAGGCAGACCACCAACGAGCTGGACCACACCCACGACATTCGCCACGGAAGATACGCTACAACTACCACGACCGCAAGATGAGGCAGACGAAGTCAAGCTGCACGGCAGCAAAGGGAACCCACTGTGCATCTGCAGAGACGGCAGTGGAGGGGCCCAAGTCGACGACAGCCGTTACCGAAGATGCGGTTGGGGATGGACTGCGGTCAATGAGAGCAACACCATTGGGGAGGAGCGTCGCGGACCGCTACCAGGAGCTCGACAAACCAACAACCGCGCGGAAATGTACGCGATGATCGACGCCTTGGCCCGCACCACGGGAGACACAACGTTCTGGACTGACTCAGACGTATTGTGCAGAGGGTGGCGCAAGCGGAAGCACTTAAACAAGGCCTACATCGGGACGAACGGCGACCTCTGGAGAAAGCTGGGCCAGGCCGTCGGGTATAGAGGGGGGGCGAACATCAACGTCAAGCATACCGAGAGCCACATGGAATGGGAAGAGGCGCAGCTGAAGCAGTACCCGAGAGCGGCTTGGGAAGGCAACCGCCGAGCAGACGTGTTAGCTGGGGAAGCGGCCGACCAACACAGCATCCCCAAGAACGAACATGACTGCTACAACCGGGCCAAAGCGATCGGCTTCATGATCCGCAGACGAATATGCCGCGCAACAGCGCAAGCCATCGAGCGCTACCCCTCCATGACCCTGGACGAGAAACAACTTCGACGCGAACAAAAAAGCAACAGAAAAATAAGAACGACACTGCAAAGAAGACATCGAGAAGCTGACCCAAAATACCACACACAGGATTGATAGGACAAACGGAAGATGGTCATGCAGCACATGTGCAGAATCCTGCATGGACTATGGCTTCAGCAAGAAGGTGCTCCAATAATGGCTGAAGAAAAAGTGCTCGAACGTATCAGGAGGAGTAAGATTCAGACAAAATCAGATATTGGCAGGTGCGGCGGCGACCCACCCAACACACGACATGCGACACGCAACCAGAGTGGCACTGTTCTGCTGGCACTGTGCAGCAAGCGTGGCAAGGCCAGAAGCGAACACCATACAGAGGATCAGCCACAAGGTGCAGGGACCATATGCAAGAAAGGCCCCCAAAGGGAATGGAGCACAAGCTGAAGGCCTACCAGAACCAAGTGGAAAGGTGTTGGCGAGAAAGTCTGGACAGGGGGCCCTCCGCCCCGCCTACTGGTGTACCAGTAGGCTAACTGGAGGGTTCGTTGTCACGTTGCTGGGCGCTTGTGATCACCTTGGGTGTCTAGGCACTGGTCACCTCGATTGAGGCAGACGGTACCCGACCCAAGGGTGACAATATTCCCTGGGTGGCAAGGCGCTGGTCACCTCCATGAGGCAGGCGGTACCCGGTCCAGGGGTCTGTCGCAGTTTTGCTGTATGACTCGCTGAAGTTTGGACGTAGTTCGCAGTGAGAAAGTCGAGGAGCCAGGAAGGGCTGCCTCTGCGCAAAGTCAAAGAAGTGAAGGTCGAGGAGCCAGAAGAGGCTGCCTCGTCGCAAAGACAAAGAGTGAAGGTCGGGGTGCCAGAGGGGGCAGCCTCGTCGCAAAGACAAAGAAGTGAAGGTCGGGGAGCCAGAAGGGGCTGCCCCGTCGCTCAGCCAAAGAAGAGAGGGTCGAGGAGCCAGAAAGGGCTTCCTCGGCGCAAAGAGAGAAGGGCGAGGAGCCAAAAGGGGCTGCCTCGTCGCAAAGAGAGAAGGTCGAGGGGCCTGACGGCCGCCTCGGCGCAAAGAAAAGCCGTGCGCCCGCGGCGCGCCCGCCGCGGGGCGCGCGGAGAGGCCTGGGCACAAGGCACTGGGCACGGACGGGACAGCGTCCCGAGAGAAATCCTAGAAATCCTCCTCCCCTCTCCCCCTCCTCTTCCTCCTCCTCCTCCTCGTCCTCCTCCTCCTCTTCCTCGTCCTCCTCCTCCTCCACCTCCTCGTCTTCTTGCTACTCGTATTATTACTACTATAATAGTTAGCAGTGTCATTGTTATTATTAGTTGTAGTATTATTACGATTACGGGTATGATTATGAGTATGCTGATGATGTTTCGTGTTATTACTACTAGTGATAGTATGAACATGATGGTTATAATAATGGTAAGCGTATTAATATTATCACCATTCCTCCTCCTCCTCGCCCTGCTCCTCCTCCACCTCCTCCTCCTCCTCCTCCTCCTCGTCCTCATCCTCATCCTCATTCTCCTCCTCCTCCTCCACCTCCTGCTGCTCCTCCTCCTCCTCCTGCTCCCCCTCCTCCTCCTCCTCGTCCTCCTCCTCCTCCGCCTCCTCTTCCTCCTCCTCTACTCGTTATTAGTAGTAGTATTCGTACAAGTGTGTTTGGCATTTCTGTTAGTAGTTTTAGAGGATTATCACTATGATTATCCGTAGTACTACTGTGCATATTAATAGTAGCAGTGGTAAGAGTTTAACTACCAGTACTATTGCTAGTAGTAGTAGCAGTGTTATCATTATTATCATTAGCGTTATACGTCTGATTATGACGATGAGTATGCTTATGAGTATGATTATCACGTGCTAAAAATATGGTTCCTCCTCCTCCTCCTCCGCCTCCTGCTCCTCCTGTTTTTCTAGTTTCTCGTCCTCCGTCTATTGCTCCTCCTCCTCATCATCCTCCTCTTTCCCCTCCTGCTTGTCCTCGCCTTCCTCCTCGTCTTGCTCCTCCTCCTCCTCCTCCTCCACTGCCTCCTCCTCCTCCTCCTACTCCTCCTCCTCATCCTCCTCCTCCTCCTCCGCCTCCTCCTCCTCCTCCTCCTCCTCCTCCTCCTCCTCCCTCCCCCTCCTCCTCCTCGTCTCCCCCCTCCTCCTCCTCCTCCTCCTCCTCCTCCTCCTCCTCCTCCTTCTCCTCCTCCTCCTCCTCCTTGTCCTCGTCCTCGTCCTCGGCATCCTCCTCCTCCTCCTCCTCCTCCTCCTCCTCCTCCTCCCCTCCGCCTCCTCTTCCTCCGCCTCCTCCTCATACTTCTCCTCCTGCTTGTCTTCCTCCTCCTCCTCATCCTCTTCCTCCTCCTCCTCTTCATCCTCCTCCTCCTCCTCCTTCCCCCTCCTCCTCCTCATCATCATCCTCCGTATCCTCCCCCGTCTTCTCCTCCTCCTCTTCCTCCGCTTCCTCTTCCTCATCCTCCTCCTCCCCCGTGATCCTTCTCCTCCTCCTCATCCTCCTCCTCTCCCCCTCCTCATCCCCCCTCTCATCCTCATCTCCTCCTCCTCCTCCTCCTCCTCCTCCTCCTCCTCCTCCTCCTCCTCCTCCTCTGCCTCATCCTCCTCCTCCTCCTCCTCCTCCTCCTCCTCCTCCTCCGCCTCCGCCTCCTCCTCCTCCTCCTCATCCTCCTCCTACCCCTCTCCTCCTCCTCCTCCTCCTCCTCCTTCTCCGCCTCCTCCTCCTCCTTCCCTCCCCTCCTCCTCCTCCTCCTCCTCCTGCTCCTCCTCCTGCTCATCCTCGTTTTCTTCCTCCTCCTCCTCCCCATCATCATCATCAGCAGCATCAGCATCGGCATCATCACCAGCATCAGCATCATCATCATCCCCATCATCATCATCAGCATCATCATCATCAACAACAACAACATCCGCATATTCAGCATCAGCATCAGCATCAGCATCAGCATCATTATCATCAGCAGCAGCGCCATCAGCATCATCACCAGCAGTATCAACATCATCATTAGCATCATCATCAGCACCATCATCATCAGTATCATGAGCATCCGCATCACCACCGTCACCAACACAACCACCACCATCAGCAGCATCATCATCAGCAGCATCAGCATCGTCATCATCATCATTAGCAGCAGCAGCAGCCCTTCCATCCTCATCATATTCATCAGAGCAATTATTTTTCCATACAGCCGGGACACGATTCTGACGAAAGCCTCGAAACGTCTTGGCCGGAGGTTAAAGTTTGCACGCTCTCTCACTCCACCTTGGAAGGGAGGGCGGGGGCCGAAGACAGGCTGTGGAGAGAGGGGGGGCAGACAAGGAGGAGAGCGGGGTTCCGATGTTTAAACTCCTGGATGGCTTAGGAGGTCTGATTGTGGCTATACATCACTGGACAACAAAAGCTCAAGCTCAAACCGTTCAAGAACATATAGAGCAACTCCTTTTCCATACAGCAGGGACACGATTCTGACGAAAGCCTCGAAACGTTTTGGCCAGAGGATAAAGTTTGCACGCTCTCTCACTCCTCCCCGAGTTTCCCGAATTCGGGAGTTCACTAGGATTGGGAAGGGTGGGGGCACTTGTTATACCCGAGCACAAAAAATACTTGAGGCCGTGAGGGCCCGTATCATACAGTGTGCGAGCTTTGGCGGATAAGCGGCAGCTGGACGAGCACGGGCGCTTCCTTCAAGCTGAAAGTGCGGAAATCCCGTGAGCGAGCATCTCCCGTTCCGGCCACGGCATTTCCTACAGAGGTCTCTGAGATCATCCTCCACTACAAGGCAAAACATCAGTCTAGTTGGCTTCTTACATGGGGCCCCGAGTTGACATTGATCTAGTTCTACAAGGCTGACCCCAGGAAGGAAGGCCAGGGCTTGGATTTCGCGAGCGTGCCACAACCGAGAAGTGAGCGGGTGCTCGAGAAACGCGGGAATCTTGAGCTGCTGAAAAACGGCAAAAAGGCCGATGGCAGCCTTGGCGATACGATTGCCTTCGCGGCCCTTCTCTGCATCTGGTCCGCTCAGCAGCGGCCTGGGCCAACCCCAAAGCCTCCCTTGAGAGCGAATCTTCGAGGTGCGATCGCGTGCGATCGAGAATGTCTGGCACGAGGGGGCTGGCGCTGCCGCCAGGATGCGGCCGCGCCGAGCCTCTCGTCGGATCGGGGCAAGGACTCCAGGGGCTGTGAGGTCTTGCCAAACTGCCTCATGAGCCCTGTCCCAACTACGGCATCTGAAGCCGAGCGTCTCGCCAGCTCTCGAGATGCACCTGCTGCCGGCGAAGAGATCAGCTTTCTAACGCCCTTTCAGAGCAAAGCGTTGAGACGCGAGGCTCTTGCTCCTACAGCCACGGCACGTGCGCCTCAGCTTGGGGCGCGGGCCTGCCAGGCCAACATCTCCTGGCTGAAGCGGACTGGATGAGCACGGCCCAGCATGATCTGCATGAGGTGCGCTTCGCAGGACTCGTGCAGCCGCCTCTGGTCTGGCGGGTAGCGCTCGTACTCGGCGCCGAGGCGGCTGCTGTGCTCGCACCGGTGCATGCTCCGCGCCTGGGCCCAGCATCCGCGGCGTCGGACATACTCGAACGTCCGCGCACGCCGGCCCGCGTCGACGCTGGCGCCCGAATGACGCAGCTGGTGCAAAGTTAGCTCCCCAGCGCCGACTTCGGCGGCGGCCAGCGACGCGGCCTCCGAGAGCTCTAGGTAGTTGAACGGCCACAGCTTCACCTCCCCGCAAGTAGCTCGAGCCCAGCAGGCAACCCTCGCCGTAGCGATTCGTCTTGCTCGGCCTGCCCTACTCCCCCCCCGGGTGTGCAAGGAGGCCCCAGCTGTCCACAGTTGCGCGAGACGGAGGACCAGGTCGCACTTCCGAGCGGCCAAGAGGGAAGGGGGCCTCGAATAGGCCGAGAGGCCGACCGCCAGGAACAGGGCCATGAGCGCCAGCCCCTTGTCCACCAGGCGCCACATCACGGCCGCCCAGGCTGCGAGGGACAAGGCCCGGCGGGTGCGCGACGGCGTCAGCCGCCCCCAGGCCTTCAGAGCCCGCCAGGCGCGCGGCAAGCTCCGACCCCCCCGACGGCCGAAAGCCGGGTGCCTGTCCAGCAGCGCGGCCCCGGTCTGGTCCCCGAGGCTGCTCTGCTCGCCCGCAAGGTACATCGCGGTGAAATAATCGCAGAGGAGGCAGTCCACGCGCTCGTCCTTGGCCTGCGCCAGCTTCTCGTCGGTCAGGCCTGCGTGCGAGTAAAAGCGATCGAGGTACTTGGCGTAGCGGCCCCTCGTGCGGCGCGTGACCGCCAGGCGCTCCAGCAACGCCCCCCCCTCCAAGTTGCTCTGCATGATCAGGCCCGCGTAGAGCGCCGCTCGGCGCCGGCGCCGGGAGTCCCGGAGGACGCGGGACCTCCGCTGAGCCGCACCCGCATGGTTCACGACGCTGTCGGAGCCGCTGATGTAACCTCGCCCTCGCCGCCCGCCACGTCGACGCCAGAGGAGGCCTCGGGCGCGGGGTCGGCGAGCGTTAGCGGGGCAGGCAGCGATGGTCTCGCAGAGCCCGTCTCCAGGTGGGCCCGAACGCCCCTCGCCTTCGGCGGGGGCGGGCCCAGCCTCCCACGCGCCCTCGCCTTCGCCTTCGCGGCCGGCAGCGCCTTCGAACACGCGGCAGGTCTCGCGCCCGGCCTCGGGAGAGACCGAGACGGCGCCCGAGGGCCCGCCGTCGCAGGCGGCCGCGGGGGCCGCAGCACCCGAGCCCGCATCAAGAACAGGAGACTCCTCAGGGATGCCGGCGAGACGAGCTAAAACATCATTGGAGCCAAAAAGGCTACGGAAGGGAAACGCGGCGGCTGACACATCGCGCAAAACCTGCTGATCCAGGACATCGGTTAACAGTTTAGACGAGACTTCGGAATGATCACGGCCCCCGGCATCGCTCTGGTTAAATTCCGAGGGGGTCCACCTAAAATACGGGGCGGCACCGAGGGCCAGGGCGCGCGCATTGAAGCGACGCATCTGGACTAGCAACTTAAAGTCGTGACTCCTCGAGCGGGCGAAGGCGAGAACAACGGCCATGTTATCGCACAGGAAGAGCTGTCTGACGCAGGCGCCGTGCCTGGTTCGAGCGAGCCCACGCATAGCCTTCACCAGGGCCCGGGCCGCCAGCACTAAGATGCCCTCCTCTAAAGCCCAGACCCCGTTTCGAGCCGTCTTCCACGCGGAGGCGCGGAGGAACTGCCAGGGGACCTCTGGGAAATCCGCCGCGACCTCCCAATCGTCAAGGCGACGCCCACCCCCGACAAAACGGCTCCTCCACTCGCCGTCTTCATCGCGGAAGAGGCGGGCGGAAGCGAGTGCGGAATCCCGAGCCGAGCAGGGGCCAACGCGTTGAAACCGAGCTCGCTCGCAGACACGGCCCACGCGGGCCACCTGCGAGGGGCCCCAAAAACTTTGAGCCATCGCCCAGCACGCCAGGCTGGCGTCGGTCTCCAGGACACACGGGTTCCAGGGGATCCACCAATCACGACCCAACAGCAGAAGGGCCCCTCTGAAGACCCGGAGCTCCTCGACCACTTCGGGCCATAGGGGGCCTACTACTAGGTACTGCGTCGAAATACTTATATCCGTGTGAAAACTTGGAAGGGGCTCACGATCTGCCAACCCACAGAAGGCACAGTGTCCGATTATTTGTTCAAGGGCTCGGCCGCTGCATCGGCTCCGAGACAACAGCCCCGTCAGGCCGCGCGCTTCAGCTTCCAGAAGCGGGCCGAAGTCACGGTCGACTGGAGGCGGTTCCCGTCGAGCTCCGCGCCGAGGGCCTCCCCCCAGCCGCCGTGGGACTCCGACTTGTGGAGGGCCAGCCCGACCGGCTCGAACAATTCGCTCCACTCGGACGCCGTCCCGTCGCTGAGGGCGACGTCGCCGCTGACGGCGCCCAAGTTGTCGACGCAGACGTAGGCCCCGCCCTCGCCTCGAGCCGAGGCGCGAAGCACGGAAGCCTCCGCCTGGTCCTGCATCAGGGGCTGCTCCTGGCCGGCCGGCACCGCCTCCTGGAGGCTGACACTCCGGCAGACCCTGTCCTCGTTGGCGGCTAGTGTTGGGCGGAGATCCAGCAGCTCGCTCTCATAGGGTCGAGCAGCTCACTGCACTCTGAGGCCTGTAACGCCTTAGGAGCCTCCGATGGAGTCATCCATAGCAGAATTTCTTGCGAGGTGGCCTGCTTGCGAGCGACTGCCAACATTCAGATCGATCAGAACCCCACGACACTGGTCATGCCATGGCCGCAGCAGCGAGCAGCGCAGAAAACATTGTCATTGACGAGTTCCGAGAAAAGGCCACGCTAACTTCAGTACTTCAGTTGCTCTCGTGTTCGGAAACCGCCGCAACATGCAAAAGCGACGCTGCCAGACTTGCAGCGATGAAACTTGCATGCATCACAGCGTTCATTTCAGCTCGTACCAATCTTTCGCCTTTTACTAAAGGTTGCCGTGAGAGGGACGCATCAATGTGACTTCCATTATTTTTGAGGGGGTAATCCCCAACATTCGCCTGCGTCGTTTCATTCAGACCCACCCCTGCCTCGTCGGCCTGGGCCAAGTGCAAGGACCGCGCGAAGCCCATCGGCAGGGCCCCCAGGCAGGGGCGCACCATCGTGTCCGAAGCCGCCTCGGCGGGGAGGCCGGCGACCGGCTGCCCCTCGAGCGCGTGCCAAGGGGCGGCCGGCAGGCAGAAATACCGGCCGAGGTCCTCGTGGATACGCATCTTGTAGAAGCAGCCCTTGACGTCGGTCGTGGTCACATACACGGTGAAGGCGCCCAGCAAGCGGCGGCCCTCCTCGGAGGAGGGGTGGATCCCAGGCGGCAATTTTACCTCGACGCGCCCGAACCCCTCGCTGCTCAGAAGTCACACGGAAGGCGGCGCTCTGAAGTGGCCGCGGCTGCGCCTCGCGTCGATGAGAACAGCCAAAGAGCGCCGCCCGACTTCGCCACGAAGGAGATGCCCATCGACTCGGCGGGCCTCGAAGCCACTCCAAGAAGTCCACGTCTAGCAAGATCACGCACGAACGCGCGGTAGCATTTGGAATTCCTCTTCAGCATGGGGTCCATGTAGACACACGGCATGCTGTCGAAGTCAACTGCCTCCGGCTCCAACCTCATTCGCTTCTGATCCTCCTCCAGAAAGAGACGGCAGCCAGGGCTCACGATGTCCTCGAGGAAGCGGCACTCCAGCGCGCTCTCGGGCAGCGAGACCTTGCCGGGCTGGTAGGAGACGAAGTTCCTCGGAGCGGCGTCCGTCTCGCACACGGACTGCCCCCGGAGCAGATCCCTGGGGGGACCCAGTCCCCCCGCTGACCCGTCTCGGTCATGATTGGACCGGCGGGGGGAGCCCTGGCGTGCGACCACGGCCACGGCCACGTCCCCGCCCCTTGGCATCCCCTCCGCCGGCCCCCGCAGCGCCGCCGCTGCTGGTGGTCTCCCTGGCCGCCGCGCCCGACGCGACACGAGAGTCGACGGCCTCCGCTCTCTTCATGGACTGCTCCACCTCCCAGTCCTCCTTGGCGCGGCGGGAGACGTGCTGCCTCAAGGCCGGCGCCAGCAGCTCGTCCGCCTCGCCAAGCGGCGTCAAGCACTTGGCGTTGGCGAAAGACGGGGCCCCGCCGCGCTTGTAGGCGTCCACGATGGCGTTGAGCCGGCGGGCGACGACCTCGAGGCAGGCGAGGCCGCCTAGGTTCAGCTGGTCGAAGCAGCCGGCCTCCTCGAGCGCCTCGGGCCGCAACTCGTGGGCCACCCGGTCGGTGGGCGCAATGCTCTTCTCTCTCAAGAACTTCTCAAGCCACGCTCGTGGGGTGCCCGACGTGCGGTACATCATCTTGCACGTGTGGAGGCACGCCAAGCCCCCCTCGAGCCGCTGATGACCCCAGTCGTGGCTCACCGACTCGTTGATCGCCCTCCTGAACTCGTTGAACCGCTCTCCTTTGTCGTCCCACTCGACCCAGAGGGTTCGCGTGTCGTCGCCGCTCCGCTCCTCCGACCTCGGGCCGTCGTCGCCAGCGTCGGCTCCCGCGTCGCGGTCGCCCGACCCTGGCGGTGGCGCCCCCCCGCCTGGAGCAGGTCCGGCACCAAGGGCCAGGTGCCCATCGCCCGGAGCAGCGGCCGGCGGCGCCATCTCCAAGAGGCGGCGCAGCTCCCCCACGCGCCGAGACGACTAGTCGACCACCTCGGCCTCTGGCATCTGCTCCGCTCGCCATGCTCGGCCGCGCCGGTGCCAGAGGGCGTCCATCACTACCCCGATCAGGGTCTCCGTCGAGGCGTCCACGATCGAGCCGATCGGAAGCCCAGGCGCGGGCTCCGCCAAGGCCCACACGTGGCCCTCTGGCGGAGGCGCGGGCGCGCCCGCAGGGGCCGCGGCCAGGGCGTCGGCCGCGTCGCCGCCCGCGAGAGGCCGCCGCGCGCCGGCAAGGCGGGCGCGCGCGGCGGGGGGGGCCACGGGAACACCTCACCGATGTCCAGCAGGGCGCCCGACGGGAGCTCGATGCTGGCCGGCGCCTCCGCGGGCGTCTGCCCGCGGGCCTCCATCGCAGCCCTGCGCAGCTCCGCCAGCTCCACCAGCCGGTTCAGCGTGCATGAGCCTCTCCCTGAAGCCGTAGAGCTTGCGGTCTGCCGCGGGTGGGGCGGCGCCGGCTGCCAGGCGCTCGCCGCCGGAGGGGCCGTCGGCAGGGGAGGCTCCCGACAGGAGCTCTTCCCACAGGTCCCCGTCCGGCGAGAGCACCCAATACAAGTGCGAGTCGACAACCTCACCGCCCTCCTCGCGCCTCGACGGCCACACGACGACCCGCTCGTGATCCACGAGGTCGCCGAGGTAGCTCACATTGGCGCGCGCCCCGCAGGGCAGGTCAGCGCACCACTCCTCCCCCGCGGGCAACGGGGGCAGGGGTGCCCGGCGCCCGCGTCGGCCCAGCATGTCGTCGAAGGCCTGGGCGACTCGAGCTGCCGCAGCACCGGTCGGTCAGCCAGAGCCACGCTGGCGTGAGCAGACCCACGAGCACGTGCACCGCTAGAGCCCTGAGCTCCTCGTCGCCCGGCTTCTCCGGGCAAACGCAGGGTTCGCAGTCCGTCGGCGGCGGCGGCGGCGGCGGGGGCGGCGGAGAGGCCGCCACGTCGAGTGCCGCCCGAGCCGCCGACTCGGCGTACAGGGCTGCGGAGGAGGCCGCCTCGCAGGCCTCCGCGACCTCCTCGAGCCACGCTGGAGACACGGACAGCGGCTCCGGCACCAGAGGCGGAGGAGCCAGACGCCACCCTAGCCCCGCGAACAGCGCCAAGCTCAAGGACGGATGCGGTGCTCCGCCCGTTCTGAGCCGAAGACAGGCTATGGAGAGAGGGGGAGAGGGGGCAGACAAGGGGGAGAGCGGGGTTCCGATGATTGAACTCCTGGATCTTTTAGCAGGTCTGATTGTGGCTATACATCACCGAATTACAAACGCCCAAGCTCAAACCGTTCAAGAACCTATATCATACTCATAATCAGCATCATTCTCATCATCATCATCATCCTCATCATCATCATCGTCATCATCATCATCATCATCATCATCATCATCATCCATCATCAGCATCATCATCATCATCATCGTCATCATCATCATCATCATCATCATCATCATCATCATCATCAGCAGCATCATCAGCATCATCATCAGCAGCAGCAGTGGCATCATCATGATCGTCCTCCTTGTCCTCCTCCTCCTCCTCCTCATCCTCCTCCTGCTTCTCCTCCTCCTCCTCCTCCTCCTCCTTCCTCCTCCTCCTCCTCCACCTCCTCCTCCTCCTTCCTCCTCCCTCCTCCTCCTCCTCTCATCCTCCTCCTCTCCTCCTCCTCCCTCCTCCTCCTCCTCCTCCTCCTCCTCCTCCTCCTCCTATTCCCTCCTCCTCCTAGCTCTTCTCCTCCTCCTCCTCCTCCGCCCTCCTCCTCCTCTCCTCTTCCTCCTCTTCTCTCTCTCCCTCTCCTCTTCCTCTTCCTCTTCCTCTTCCCTATTCCTCTCCTCCTCCTCCTCTCGGGGATGGACAGACCCCCCTTTAGTAAAACGTGGTTTAGTGAAAACGACCTGAGGCCCAAACCTGGCGGGCGCAGGCCTGGAAAATAACGGCCACGGCGCCCTCTCGAGAACCGAAAACGGACAATTCACTAATCGACGTGTCACTGTTGGGGGTTCTGTCCACCCCCGATCGATCCTCCTCCTCCTCCTCCTCCCTCCTCCTGCTCCTCCTCTCCTCCTCCTCCTCCTCCCTCCTCCCTCCTCCTCGTCCTCCTCCTCCTCCTCCTCCTCCTCCTCCTCCTCCTCCTCCTACTCCTCCTCCTCCCCCTGCTCCTCCTCCTCCCCGTGCCGATAACCCCCAGCCTCCTCCTTGGTACTCGAAGTGGTCGGGAACGCAAGGGGCGGCCTTTAAAGGCCCTTTCTGGGGTCCGACGAGCACCCCGACCACGAGTGCCAGGGAGTGGTGGTCGGGGCGTCAAAGGCTGAATTAACCAGGCTCCCGCATGTCTGGTGTTAGCCAGGCCTGCTGCACGACTGGCGTTAGCCAGGAATCAAGGGGTGGGTTCGGGAGGGCCAACTTAAGTTCGGATTGCGTTCGCAGGACTGGTGGTAACCAGGACTGCTGCACAACTGGCGTTAGCCAGGAATCAGTTCAGGGGGGTTGGAGGGTCTCGTAATTCGGCTGCCGCTGCACGACTGGCATCAGCCAGGACTGCTGCACGACCAGCGTTAGCCAGGGATTGACTCCCCTATGGGGGTCGGGAAGGGCGGCAGCTAGGAAACATCCGAACGTTGGCCGAGAGGCTTCTCGGAAGGGCCTGGTCGAGCCCGCGCTCCCTCTTCTCAAGCGCGCATGTGGGCCAAGCGCCGGGAAGGCGTCTGGGAACAATCGGTCTCAGGCGCTGCACGGCGCCGAACGCAGAGTTCAGGGGAGGCCTCTTCCGGCACGTGGGTCCCGACACCAGGCTCCGGAAAGGGTTTCCCCAGAACGTGGTTGGTTGCGTTGGTTTCGGCCGCGGCGTGTCTTCGTTCAAAGGCCCCAGCCTGTACGTAAACCATGGGGCTCAGTCTGCTACAAGGCTTAATTAAGCAGGCTCCCGCATGACTGGTGTTAGCCAGGCCTGCTGCACGACTGGCGTTAGCCAGTAATCAGTTTTGGGGGTTTGGCGGGGGGGCCACCCATATTCGGATTGCGTTCGCAGGACGAAACAGACCACCAACCGCGCCCAAATTCCAGTTCATTGTTAACACAATGGGCTGGGATAGAGAGGGGGCGGGAGGGGAAGCGCGTTCCCGTTTTCCCTTGCCCTAATAACAAGCCGAGGGCTTCCAGGGGCGGGATGGCCATCTCTGGCGTCCCTGGGGGTTACGGAGTGTTCGACCCTTAATTCCAACAGCGGCTCCGCCAAAAGCTTCGGGGGTGCGCCGGCGCGTTCCAGGTGGGAACGAGAGGTCTGACTTTCGTGTCTTTCCACCCCGCTCTTGGAAGCAGGCACAATGGGGTTGGCCCCCGCGTCTTAGTGGACCTCTGCCCGAACAAGTTCACTTCCCTTCGGGATGCCGCCCCCTAGGAGCCCAGATACAGGGATCGCTAAGAATGGCTGAGGGGTGAGGAGGGAGGGCAAGGAGGACCAGCAATCGGACCAGTAGGACATCTGCCTGCAGGAGAGCGTGTTTTCGCCCCCTGCGTCGTTGCTGGCGTTATCAGGTCCGTTGGATCCTTACCCTCCACAGTTTTGGGTCATGATTTGGACCCCCCCCCTTCGCACAGCCATGCCCCAGGGGATCGGCGTACGGGGAATCCAACCTTGAACCCAACTGTCAGTCCGTGCTAATGCTCCTCCTCCTCCTCCTCCTCCTGCTGCTCCTCCTCCTCCTCCTCCGCCCTCCTCCTCCTCCTCGTCCTCCTCCTCCTCCTCCTCTTCCTTTTCTCCTCCTCCTCCTCCTCCTCCTCCTCCTCCTCCTCCTCTTCCTCCCCCCCGCGCTCCTCCTCCTCCTCCTCCTCCTCTCCTCCTCCCTCCCTCCTCCTCCGCCGCCGCCCTCCTCCTCCGCCCTCCTCCTCCGCCCTCCTCCTCCGCCCTCCTCCTCCGTCCTCCTCCTCCTCCTCCTCCTCCTCCTCCTCCTCCTCCTCCTCCTCCTCCTCCTCCTCCTGCCCTCTCTGATGATCATAACCTCCCCTCCTCCCTAATTACCTGTGCTCTCGACCTGAAGGGCGTGAAGCAGCCAGGCGTCCCGCGCAACGGGGCGGCATCAGGTCGGACGTGCTGCGGTTAGCCTCGGTCGTTCTGGGCCTCGGGGCCGCGGGTGGGTGCACCCTCAGTCAATCCACCGCCGTACAGGATGCCGTGGGCCATGGTGATGCCGATGTCCTCGGGTCTGGCACAGATTGCCAAACAGGCAGATGATCATGCCCGCTTCAGCAACGGCCCGCTTCCGAGCCCTCTTGGCGGCGTGCGTCAATGCCTTTTTTTCTGGATTTCCCAACAGTTGCAGATTCCTGTGGAAGGCGCCGGAGACACGTCTGGAGACGCCGCGGCCGTCGGCGAGGGTGTAACGGGCGCCACCCGCACGGTCCTGTGAAGGCGGCGCGGTTGAGGCGGAGCTGCTGGTGGTCCCGTGCACTGGTGCAGCGGTGGATGGAGACGGCGCCTCCTGCAGCACTTCAGGACTGGTGGCGTTCGAGGCTCCTGCCCGGTCGTCGATCGCCGTCGTGGCCACCCTGCTTCCTTCCACTCCAGCCGGCATCCACCTGCCCCGCGGTGTTCCAAGGGCCCTCCAGTGCGCACCAGTGTCGCGGGGTCCCGAGGAGAGGCGCTATCTGCCCGCGGCGAGCGGGCGGGAAGGCTGGCCCGGGCGCAGCGGAGGCCTCCACCCGCCCCCGGGCTCCCCTTGGACAGACTCGCGTGATGCTTTCTCGCAGGGGGTAGTCAGCTGTCTGGCTGATCGTTGATTGCCGTACGGCAGGTTCGTGTCGTGCCGACCCCAGCGTTGGTTTTTGACACCGCAGGGATCGTTCAACCTTGAACGATCGGCCGCTGCCGCAACGTCCGATCGTTCAACATCGATCGATTCTGGGTCGCCGGCGGCGTTCAACCTTGAACGCCCGCGGCGGGGTCGCGACGAGTCGACACGACGCGAACCTACCGTACATTCTTCCTGTCAGGCACGTGGTGGCAAAGTTGGCACGGGGCCATCTGACGACCACCCGTCTCTGCCCTCTCTGGCCTGGTGGCACACGTGCCCTCGGACATGCTCTGGTCGGCGCCCAACCCCCGTGGCCCTCCCCCTGCAGGGAGGGAGGAGGAGGTGGAAGGGAGAAAGAAGGGGTTAGAGAGAGGAAGGAACAGAGGACGAGGAGGACGGGGAGGACAGAGGGAGGAGGTGGAGAAGGGAGGGGGAGAGAGGGACGACGGAGAGGAGGGAGGCAGTGAGGCAGGGAGGCCTGGAGGCAGGGCGGCAAGAGGAGGGCGCAGACCGCTGCGCCCCCTGCCAGGCAAATGCCAAGCAGGGGGTCCATAAGAGGACTCCTCCTCCTCCTCCTCCTCCTCCTCCTCCTCCTCCTCCTCTTCCTCATCATCATCATCATCATCATCATCATCATCATCATCATCATCAGCAGCAGCAGCAGCAGCAGCAGCAGCATCACCATCATCATCAGCAGCACCATCAACATCCTCATCCTCATCCTCAACGGCAACATCATCATCATCATCATCATCATCATCATCATCATCATCATCATCATCATCATCATCATCATCATCATCATCATCTTCATCATCATCATCATCATCAGCAGCAGCAGCAGCGGCATCATCATCATCAGCAGCATCATCATCATCAGCATCATCATCATCATCGTCAGCAGAAGCATCATCAGCATCATAATCATCATCACCATCATCATCATCAACAACATCAGCATCATCGTTATAATCAGCATCATCGTCGTCAGCAGAAGCACCATCAGCATCATAAGCATCGTCATCATAAGCAGCATCATCATCAGCAGCATCATCAGCATCATCATCGTACTCGTCCTCCTCATCCACATCAGCATCAGCATCAGCATCAGCATCAGCATCAGCATCAGCATCAGCATCAGCGTCAACAACCACAGCATCATCATCATCATCAGCATCACCATCAGCAGCATCATCATCAGCAGCATCATCAGCAGCATCGTCATCAGCAGCAGCATCAGCATCATCATCCTGTTTCTCCTCCTCCTCTTCCTTCGTCTCCTCCTCCTGCTGATCATGCTTCTCGTCCTCGTCCTCGTCCTCCTCCTCCTCCTTCTCCTCCTCCTCCTCCTCCTCCCCCTCCTCCTTCTCCTCCTCCTCCTCCTCCTCCTTCTCCACCTCCTGCTCTTCCTTCGCCTCCTCCTCCTCCTTCTCCTCCTCCTCCTGCTTGTCCTCCTCCTTCCTCCTCTCCCTCCTCCTCCTCCTCCTCTCTCCTCCTCCTCCCCATCTTCCTCCTCCTCCCCTCCCTCTCCTCCTCCTCCTCCTCCTCATCATCCTCCTCCTCCTCCTCCCTCCTCCTCCTCCTCCTCCTCCTCCTCCTCCTCTCCTCCTCCTCCTCCTCCTCATCCTCCATCCTCCTCCTCTACCCCCCCCTCCTCCTCCTTTCCTCCTCTCCTCCCTCCTCCTCCTCCTCCTCCTCCCTCCTCCTCCTCCCTCCTCTCCTCCTCCTCCTCCTCCTCCTCCCTCTCCTCCTCCTCCTCCTCCTCCTCTCCTCCTCTCCTCCTCCTCCTCCTCCTCCTCCTCCTCCTCTCTCTCCTCTCCTCCTCCCTCCTCCTCCTCCTCCTCCTCCTCCTCCTCCTCCTCCCTCCTCCTCCTCCTCCTCCTCCTCCTCCTCCTCCTCCTCCTCCTCCTCCTCCTCCTCCTCCTCCTCCTCCTCCTCCTCCTCCTCCTCCTCCTCCTCCTCCTCCTCCTCCTCCCTCTCCCGTCCGGAGCAGAGCCCCCGCGTTGGGAGGCGCCTCGCCGCCGGGAATGCCAGCGGGAGGGGCGCCGCCGTCTGGGCCGCGAGGGTGTAGAGCCGGGAGCGCTGCGCTGCGCGGGCGGCCAACGCCCACGACGGAGGCGACAACGCCGACGCCGACGCAAACGCCGACGACGACGCCGATGCCGCGGCCGCCGCCGCCGCCGACGACGACGATGACGAGGACGACAACGATGACCACGACGACGACGACGACGACGACGACGACGACGACGACGACGACGACGACGATCACCACGACGACGACGACGACGACGATCACCACGACGACGACGACGACGACGACCACGACGACGACGACGACGACGACGACGACGACGACGACGACGACGACGACGATCACCACGACGACGACGACGACGACGACGACGACAACGACGACGACGACGACGACGACGACGACGAACACGACGCACACGAGGGCGACGACGGGGGCGATGACAGGGGCGGGGGGGGGGGAGGCGCGGGCGAGGAGCGCGGGCACCACACCACCGTCGGTCCAACGGACTCGGCAAGCTATGCATGGGCCTGCTGGACACGCGCGCCTGCTCGGCACACGGACGCATATCATACACTGCACGCGTGCCTGCTGAACACACGGCTTCTTTCTTCTTCTACAGTGGAGACCCATGCCAAGAAACACCCTGGTTGCCTCCAGGGTGCCCTGGGGTTCTTGGGCTTCGATGGTTTTGCCATGGAAACCGTGACGTTCCCACACCAAAAAATCAATGGACGTCCTGGGGTCTCAGGGTTGGGCTTCTTGTGGAAGGTTTCTTGTGGACTGGCCTCCACTGCATGGAGAACGAAACTTTGATACGGCCATATAAACTCGGAGGTCCGCGCAGATTCCTCGGATCGGCGCTGGAGCCCCTGGCGGCGCCTCCGTCGCCGCCCCTCGCGCGCTCCGCGCGCCAGGGAGGGAGGTTCAGCACCGATCCGAGGAATCCGCGCAGACCCACGAGTTTGTACGGAGTTTGTACGGTCATGTCGCTGGTTTGTTCCCCGCTCCCATGCCTGGGCTGGCGAGGTCGTTGCCTCGCCGGCCCCGTCGGAGCCGTGCTGGTTAATTTGGGCCTAAGCTGTTCGCCGTCCCATGGCATAGAAGAAGGAAGAACGCCATAAGCATGCACGTTTGGCGCTCCGCGCAGATTTCTTGGATCCGCGCTGGACCCCCTCCCTGGCGCGCGGAGCGCGCCAGGGGCGGTGCCGGAGGCGCCGCCGGGGGTTGGAGGGGCCCAGCGCGGCTCCAAGAAATCCGCGCGGAGAACCAGAAGCTTATGTATTATGGCGTTTTCTCTTCTTCGATGGTGAGCGTTTTCTTACTCGGCGTTTCGACATTGGGCGGAAGGGGGGGGAGGGGGGGGGGAAGGGGGTCTCTGCCTCATGCGACTGTCTGCGGCAGTGCGTCCCATGGAGGAGGCTCCACCTGCCTGAAACGGGCGCCAAACACAGCCAAGGTCTACTCCATGAGGGCGGGAGGGGCGGGGGTGAGGGCCTGCGCCGAGCGGCAAAACAAGAAATAATGAGAGGCCTGTTTTCCACCACCACCACCATAAGTTGGAGGGGGGAAGGAGGTGGAGGATGAGGAGGAGGAAGAGGAGAAGGATGAGGAGGAGGACCCCCTCCCCCTCCTACTTATGGTGGTGGTGGTGGAAAACAAGCCCATCAAATAAGAAAACGATCACGTGGCGGTAATTTGGGTCGGCTGTTCGCCGACACGGCGGGCGCCCCGCTCGGGCCCGGGCCGGTCGCCGCCACGTGGCTCCGCGGGAGAGCTCACCTGCGCGGGCCTCGGCGCCGGGCGCCCCTGCACGACCAGAGCCGTGCACCGAAGAGCGTCGGGGGCTGCCAAGAGGTGCGCCACTTGCCCAAGGCTAGGAGGCAACTGCTGGGAGGCCTTCGTCGGAAGAATTAAGAAGAATTCAGCTCCATTGAGGAGTTGTTACGCCAGGGAAGGCCGCGGATTAAGCGGGAGCAGGCTGGACTAAGCCAAGCGAGACTCAGCCAGAGTAAACGGAAATAAGCTGGATTAGGCGGGACAAATCTGGATCAAGCCGGGTTTCGGACCAGGACAAAATCAGAATTTGACCTCCCACGAGTTGCATCCGAACCAGGGTGCCCCCAGCTTTTCGCTCATTCCTGGGGCCCCTGAGGGCCTTCTGAGCCTCGTGGGGGGTGCTCTGGAGGCTGTCGGGGCCTCCTTGGAAATCCTAGGGGCACCTTGGGCCAGGGGCGCTTCGAGCAACACCAGAAAATGTGTCGCCAGAGCGTCCTCCGAGGATCGGCAGCCCGATCCGATTCGCCGATCCACGACAGGACCACAAAGCATCGATTCATCAGAAACCGCCGTACAGCCGAAAAGATGATCAAGAAAACCAGAAGCTTAGAAATCTGGGCCAGCTTCCCGGAAGCTTCTAGAAACAAGCCTGGGCCAATTTCTGCTGTTGACGCTGGAAGGGCGAACGTGCTGAAGAAACTGGGCCAGCTTTCTGGCAAGTTGGTTAATAAACGCTGGCTCGAGTTTTCGGGAGCAGGTTTCTTAATCATATGCTCGGCCGTATGTCAGCAGGCCCGGCTTGGGAAGGGTGTTGCCATTTACGCCAGGCAGCATGTCAAACACCCTCCAAAGTCTGGGCTGGGCGGATCAGTGCTGCATCAGGTGCTCTCGGCAGCATCGGCCGAAGCTGCGCAGGGCAGGGTGCCGTTCAAACGCAGGTCAACGGAGGATCTCCCCACGGACACCGTGACTTTCTCCCCCAGCTCGACCGCCGAGATCCACCTGAGCGAGGAGAAACAAACTAGTTTTACGCGAGAAGGCATTGCGACCATACGTCACGGCTTACGCGGGCCGCCAGCGTGGCACACCGCATGGAGAAAATGGCACCTGTGTCGAGGAGGCTGGACACTTAGGTTCGGGACACGCAGGTTGGCATGACGGGGCCATCACGAAAATGACGAGACCCAGTCTGAAACTTGGCGCGAGCTCCTGCTGCGAACATCCCACGAAAACTGGACCGTCCAAGTCCAGGACAAACTCCTTAAAAAAGCGTCGGCACACCCGAGGTCCGGCGTACTCGAGTCGCACGTTTCCCCGACTATGCGCGAGCTGATGCGGAAAGTTTATACGCCAATGCCCGCGCAGTCGACCCCGCTTTTATATCCTTCGCACACCTGCCCTTCCCCTCGTCGTAGTAGCTCCAGTCCTCCTCGCCGAGCACGAAGAAGACGTCGGCATCGCCGCCAGCGGGCACATCGACCTTCTGGAAGCCGCGCAGCTGCCGCAACACTGGCCGCAGGCTCTTGAAGCTCACGTACAGCTGCGGCACCTCCGTGCCCGAGCGCCCGCCGGCATTGGAGACTTTGAAAGAAACGACGGCCCTGCCCTTGTCGCAGCTTGCCTCGAACGACCCGTACTCGAACTCCGTGTACGCCAGCCCGAACCCGAACGGATAGGCCGCAGGCCTGCCCTTGGCGTCGTTCCAGCGGTACCCCACCAGGGTGCCCTCCGAGAAGTTTGCCACCATCTTGTCGCACCACACGTCAGGTTCTGGGCAGACGCCTGGGTACTGGTCAATGGTGAACCTGTTTTCGTCCTGCTCCGGGAAGGACACGGGCAAGCGCCCAGCGGGGGCCGCCTCGCCAGAGAGCATCTTGGCCACCGCGACGCCAACCTGCTCCCCTGGCATGAACAGCACCATCACCGCGTCGGCGTCCGCGACCCACTCAGTAGTGACGGCGCCAGGCAGGATCGCGATGACGACTATCTTCTTGTGCCCGCCCTGCTTCCGCAGGGCCTTCACGAGCGACTCGGCCTCTGGGAGTAGCGAGTCCTCCCTGTCCCAGCCCTCCTCCGCGTGGGCCGCCGCACACACCACCGCCACGTCCGCGCCCTTGCCGGCCGAGGCATCGGCGCTGTAGGTCACCTCACTGCCCTCGCCGAAGACGTCCTTCACGCCGTCCAGGATGCTCACAGTCTCCGTCGTGTTGACGAAGCCGCTACCGCCCCCGGCGTAAACGCTGCCCTGCGCGTAGTCCGCCTCGAACGCCTCGGAGCAATACTTGCCGATAAGGGCGATCTTCTTGCCCTCGGAACCCTCCAGCGGGAGAACGGAGCCCTTGTTCTTCAGCAGCACGGCGCTGTCGATGATCGTTTCGAGGGCCACCTGGCGGTGCTCCTCGGTGGCGGCGGGGACGTGCCCGAGGGCGGTGTTCTTGTCCTCTGGGAACCTCCCGTCGAACTGCCCGGTGAAGTACATGGCGGCCAGTACGTGCGTGGCCATGCTGTCGATCTGATCCTCCGAGAGGGTGCCTTCCCCAACGAGTTTTGATAGATTCGTGAACGAGCCACCCGCTGGCATCTCGACGTCAAGTCCGGCTTCGACCGACTTGACCGCATCAGACGTGGCACCCCAGTCGCTGACGACGAATCCGCGAAAGCCGAGATCCTTTCGCAGCAGCTTCGTCAGCAGCTTCTTGTTCTCGCAGGCGTGGGTCTTGTGCACCTTGTTGTACGCGCACATCACCGAGGCAGCGCCAGCCTCGATGGCGGCCTTGAAGGGGGGCATGTAGATCTCCTGGTTCGCGCGGTCACTGACCTCCGACGTCATCGTCATCCGGTAGATCTCCTAGAGAGCTTGTACGATTTTTCGCGATAGCGGCCGTGTATCAGCCCCTGCCACCCCTCGCCCCCCCCAGATAACGTCACGACCGGTGCTGACCTCCGAGTTGGCCTGGGTTGTTTCTAGACGTTGCCAGACGGCGACGGCGCGAAACGTGACGCTACTGGCCCCCCGCCCCCCCTCCCCCCCTTCGGGAACGCGCGCCCAGGAATGCAAAACAAAAAAACGCTCTCCTGGTTGTTGTCCAGCCAGTGCTTCACGGTGGACATCACGCCCTTGGCCTGCACCGCCTGCACATACGGCCCGACCAGCTGGCTGCCCAGGTAGGGGTCCTCCCCGGAGATGGTCTCAAAGCTCCGGCCAGTCAGCGGCGCGCGCTCCACCTCGATGTCCGGCCCCAGCAGGTTGTTGCTGCCTTTCTCCACAAACTCCTCTCAGACACTTCTCACAGCGCAAAACAGATCACCTCGTCCTCATGACCTATCAAACATGACAGCGAAGCTGCGCCACAGCGGCGTGACGGCTGCCGAGCTGCGAAACCACGAACTCCCCTTAGAGAGCAACCCACGGAAGCTTTTGGACGGCACCCCCTAGCACGCCCCACGGCGCGCCAAGCTCACAGAACGCATCCCCCCGCACATGGCGCTGTTGGGCGCCATTGGAGCGCTCCTGGGCGCCATCGGGGCGCTGCGGGGCGCGCTTGAGCGCCATGGAGGGCCAGGGAGAGCTATTCGCCGATATACGTCGAGTCCAAGATGAGCAGAAGCTACTGGAATTTACAGTCTAAGCTTAGGTCGGGCATGTCCCCCTACAGTCTGATTTTGGAGGAAAAAATTAAAATTACACCGAACATACCCTTTTTACCTAACAGCTTGTTCTGATAGGTTTCTAGTAGGGTCAAAAGAGAGCAGCAGATGACTCCACAGGGGGGTCTGGGCGGGTGCCGGACAGGGTGCCGCAGAAGTCGTTTTCAACCCAGTCACACACTTCGTGCTCTTCGACCTCCCAGAACTCCATTCCCGGGCCACATTTTGAATGCCCGGAGCCAACTGTAGGCCACTTCGTGGTCTTCGACTTCCCAGAACTCCATTCCCGGGCCACATTTTGAATGCCCGGAGCCAACTGTAGGCCACTTCGTGCTCTTCGACTTCCCAGAACTCCATTCCCGGGCCACATTTTGAATGCCCGGAGCCAACTGTAGGCCACTTCGTGGTCTTCGAGTCCCCAGAACTCCATTCCCGGGCCACATTTTGAATGCCCGGAGCCAACTGTAGGCCACTTCGTGCTCTTCGAGTTCCCAGAACTCCATTCCCGGGCCAGATTTTGAATGCCCGGAGCCAACTGTAGGCCACTTCGTGGTCTTCGAGTTCCCAGAACTCCATTCCTGGGCATGATTTTGAATGCCCGGAGCCAACTGTAGGCCACTTCGTGTTCTTCGAGTTCCCAGAACTCCATTCCCGGGCCACATTTGAATGCTGACGCAGGCTGCTGAGGCAGGCTGATGCTGAGGCAGGCTGAGGCTGAGGCTGAGGCTGAGCAGGCTGAGGCTGAGGCAGCCTGAGGCTGACGCCGAGGTGAAGGCGGGATCTGAGCTGAGGCTGAAGCAGGCTGAGGCTAGGCTGAGGCAGGCTGAGGCTTGAGCAGGCTGAGGCTGAGGCTGAGGCAGGCTGAGGCTGAGGCTGTGTCTGTGACTGCCGTTGCCACTGCGACTGTCCTCGCGAATGCGACTACGACTGCGAGAACAGCACAGTTCTACAACTGGATTACTCTCAGAACCCCATTCCCAGGCCACATTCTGAATAACCGGATGCAACAGTCACACACTTGGTGCTCTTCGACCTCCCAGAACGCCATTCCCGGGCCACATTCGGAATGCCCGGAGCCAACTGTAGGCCACTTCGTGCTCTTCGAGTTCCCAGAACTCCATTCCCGGGCCAGATTTTGGATGCCCGGAGCCAACTGTAGGCCACTTCGTGGTCTTCGAGTTCCCAGAACTCATTCCCGGGCCAGATTTTGGATGCCCGGAGCCAACTGTAGGCCACTTCGTGGTCTTCGAGTTCCCAGAACTCCATTCCTGGGCATGATTTTGAATGCCCGGAGCCAACTGTAGGCCACTTCGTGTTCTTCGAGTTCCAGAATTCCATTCCCGGGCCACATTTTGAATGCTGAGGCAGGCTGAGGCTGAGGCTGAGGCAGGCTGAGGCTGAGGCAGGCTGAGGCTGAGGCCGAGGCTGAAGGCAGACTGAGGCTGAGGCTGAAGCAGGCTGAGGCTGAGGCTGAGGCTGAGGCTGAGGAAGGCTGAGGCTGAGGCTGAGGCAGGCTGATGCTGAGGCAGGCTGAGGCTGAGGCTGAGGCTGATGCAGGCTGAGGCTGAGGCAGGCTGAGGCTGAGGCCGAGGCTGAAGGCAGATTGAGGATGAGGCTGAAGCAGGCTGAGGCTGAGGCTGAGGCAGGCTGAGGCTGAGGCTGAGGCAGGCTGATGCTGAGGCAGGCTGAGGCTGAGGCTGAGGCTGATGCAGGCTGAGGCTGAGGCAGGCTGAGGCTGAGGCCGAGGCTGAAGGCAGACTGAGTCTGAGGCTGAAGCAGGCTGAGGCTGAGGCTGAGGCAGGCTGAGGCTGAGGCAGGCTGAGGCTGAGGCTGATGCAGGCTGAGGCAGAGGCAGGCTGAGACTGAAGCCGAGGCTGAAGGCAGATTGAGGCTGAGGCAGAGGCAGGCTGAGGCTGCGGCTGAGGCAGGCTGATGCTGAGGCAGGCTGAGGCTGAGGCTGAGGCTGATGCAGGCTGAGGCTGCGGCAGGCTGAGGCTGAGGCCGAGGCTGAAGGCAGACTGAGGCTGATGCTGAAGCAGGCTGAGGCTGAGGCTGAGGCAGGCTGAGGCTGAGGCTGAGGCAGGCTGATGCTGAGGCAGGCTGAGGCTGAGGCTGAGGCTGATGCAGGCTGAGGCTGAGGCAGGCTGAGGCTGAGGCCGAGGCTGAAGGCAGACTGAGGCTGAGGCTGAAGCAGGCTGAGGCTGAGGCTGAGTCAGGCTGAGGCTGAGGCTGAGGCAGGCTGATGCTGAGGCAGGCTGAGGCTGAGGCTGAGGCTGATGCAGGCTGAGGTTGAGGCAGTCTGAGGCTGAGGCCGAAGCTGAAGGCAGACTGATGCTGAGGCTGAAGCAGGCTGAGGCTGAGGCTGAGGCAGGCTGAGGCTGAGGCTGAGGCAGGCTGATGCTGAGGCAGGCTGAGGCTGAGGCTGAGGCTGATGCAGGCTGAGGCTGAGGCAGCCTGAGGCTGACGCCGAGGCTGAAGGCAGACTGAGGTTGAGGCTGAAGCAGGCTGAGGCTGAGGCTGAGGCAGGCTGAGGCTGAGGCTGAGGCAGGCTGATGCTGAGGCAGTCTGAGGCTGAGGCTGAGGTGAGGCAGGCTGAGGCTGAGGCAGGCTGAGGCTGAGGCCGAGGCTGAAGGCAGACTGAGGCTGAGGCTGAAGCAGACTGAGGCTGAGGCTGAGGCAGGCTGAGGTTGAGGCTGAAGCAGGCTGATGCTGAGGTGTGTAGATGTGATGGCAGGCTGAGGTGAGGCAGCCCTGCTTGAGCGCGGCTGAAGGCTAACGTCCTGGTGTACTGATCGAGCAGGCTGAGGCTGAGGCTGAGGCTGAGGCAGGCTGAGGCTGAGGCTGAAGCAGGCTGAGGCTGAGATGGCAGGCAGGGAGGTGAGGATGAGGTGAGGCAGGCTCATAGGCTGGCAGGCTGAGGCTGAGGTGCCGAGGCTGCAGGGATGACTGAGCTGATGCAGGAGAGGCTTAGGTGAGGCTGAGGCAGGTGAGGGCTGAGGCTGAGCTGATGCTGAGGCAGGCTGAGGCTGAGGCTGTGACTGCGACTGCCGTTGCCACTGCGACTGTCATCGCGAATGCGACTACGACTGCGAGAACAGCAGAATTCTACAACTGGATTCTCATCTGAATCTTAAGGGGATGCTTCCAGATATGCTCCTACACATCGCTGTTAGGTTGCTTTGCCGGGATAATTTTACCTAACAGCTCTTGCTGATAGGTTTCTAGTGGTCTCAAAAGAGAGCAGCAGATGACTCCACAGGGGGGTCGGGGCGGGACCCGGGCGGCTGCCGCCGAAGCCCAAATCGCTTGGGACATCCTCGCAAAATCGCTCTTGGCGCTGCTAGAACTCCATCCCCGGCGTACATTTTGGATGCCCGGAGCCAACTGTAGGCCACTTCGTGCTCTTCGACTTCCCAGAACTCCATTCCCGGGCCACATTTTTAATGCCCGGAGCCAACTGTAAGCCACTTCGTGGTCTTCGAGTCCTCAGAACTCCATTCCCGGGCAACATTTTGAATGCCCGGAGCCAACTGTAGGCCACTTCGTGCTCTTCGAGTTCCCAGAACTCCATTCCCGGGCCAGATTTTGTATGCCCGGAGCCAACTGTAGGCCACTTCGTGTTCTTCTAGTTCCCAGAACTCCATTCCTGGGCCACATGTTGAATGCTGAGGCAGGCTGATGCTGCAGCCGAGGCAGGCTGAGGCTGAGGCAGGCTGAGGCTGAGGCCGAGGCTGAAGGCAGACTGAGGCTGAGGCTGAAGCTGACTGAGGCTGAGGCTGAGGTAGGCTGAGGCTGAGGCTGAAGCAGGCTGATGCTGAGGCAGGCTGAGGCTGAGGCTGAGGCTGATGCAGGCTGAGGCTGAGGCAGGCTGAGGCTGAGGCCGAGGCTGAAGGCAGACTGAGGCTGAGGCTGAAGCAGGCTGAGGCTGAGGCTGAGCAGGCTGAGGCTGAGGCAGGCTGAGGCTGAGGCTGAGGCAGGCTGAGGCTGAGGCTGTGACTGCGACTGCCGTTGCCACTGCGACTGTCATCGCGAATGCGACTACGACTGCGAGAACAGCAGAATTCTACAACTGGATTTTCATCTGAATCTTAAGGGGAATGCTTTCAGATATGCTTCTACACATCGCTGTTAGGTTGCTTTGCCGGGATAATTTTAATAAATATATGATATAAGAAATTCGCCCCCCCCCCGACAATGTTTTAATTACTATTGAATATTCCTCCTGTCTCCTGTAGAGGGACAGGCCCGACTTAAGTCTAAGCTCCTCGGCCACGACGTTGGCGTACCTCCAAGCGGTGCCGGGACTGAACGAGGCGGCCACCGCCAGCAGGCAGGGGAGCTGGGTGCTGGTGCCCGCCAGCACCGCCTGGTACGTGTTGAAGCCCTGCGGCCCGTCGTTCATCTGCACGTTCAGCGCGCCCTCCAGGGCCTCGTTCAGCTTGAGGAAGCCTGCGTAGCCGAGCCCTCCCTCGCTGCCCATGACGAACTGCAGCTTGCCCTCCAGCTCTATGCCATCCAGCTGCTCGCGGGCACGCTTCTCGGCATCGTCCCACTGCGACTGCACGTCTGCGTGGTTCCTCTTCTTCGCCTCGGACCACACGATCTGTTCCTTCCGCCGCAGCTCAGCCAGGCCTTTGCCGCTGCCGCAATAGATGGAAGTGTAATCCGAGGACGCCTCCTTCGGGACAGGAGAACGGCATAAACAATCATGTGCCAGGTCCGCGCGGACTTCTTGAATCGGCGCTGGAACCCAGCCCGCGGAGAGCGTCAGGAGCGGCGCTGGAGGGGCCGCCTGGGGGCTCCGGCGCAGATCCGAGAAGTCCGTGCCGAACTCCGACAGACAGGATGTGTGCAGGTCTGTCTTCTTCGATCCTCGCCGGTGGAGAGCACCTCGGTCGCCTTGCCGAACTGATAGCACCCGCCGTTGCCGGAGGAGTAAACCACCTGCGCGCAGTGCGCATCCTCCTGGCAGCGCTGCGCGCACTCCTCCGAGGTGGTGTTCCCCTCGGCTGCCGGCAGAGGCTTCCCGCCGTCGGCCAGGCGCACGCCTCGGGGCTGGCGGGCCGCCCGAAGAGCTCAAGAGGGACCACGAGCGCTGGCAGCACACGTGCGCAGACCCGCCCCCTCCCGTCCACCATCAGAGTCCACAGTGTGGGCGCTTCGTAAAAAGCCTTCTAGATGGGGTCGGAGTATAGATGGGGTCGTAAAATCGCGCCGCGTTGCCGACACATCGGCGATGCATCGGCGGTGCATCGGTGATGCACCTGCGATGCATCGTCGACGTCGGCGATGCATCGGCGACGTCGACGTGAAGCCAATCGGGCCCCACATCGAGCCGCATCGGCGATGCCTCGGCGATGCGGCTCAATCCTCCGACCCCATCTACTCCGACCCCGTCTAGGAGGCCTGGATGTTTTACGTCGCAGCGCGGCCGAGGCAGTCCGCACGCGCGCTCTCGGGCGGGCCGGGAGACGGCAGGCGCCAGTTCTCCGGCTGCAGCCAGATGTGAAAAAGGACGGGGGGGGGGGGGGGCGAGGCGGCCGCGGGGCGGGGGGAGGGAGGCAGAGCGCTCACGTGGCGGACGCCGGCGCGGAGCGGCCGGCGCGGAGCGGCCGGTGCGGCACCCCTGGCAGCGGCACATGGACGCAAGGAAAGGCTGCAAGACCCTCGGAAGTCCCATCTACAGTTTCAAGCTCCCGGGACGCCAGCCTGGGCTCAGGATGGGCCGAAGAGACAGGGGCGCAGGGGTATAAGCAGCACATCCTTACCATGGATCTTGACTGCACTCTGGCCCCATGTGGCCCGTTCCGGGGACCCTGCCACCGAAAAAGTGGATATCCCTTGGGGAGCCGACTCTTACTTCCGCCGGCTTCCCCCAGTCTCTCTTGAGAGGAACGAGGGGCGCAGACCAGACCGCCGCCGCCGCCAGTCTGAGCCCGGGAGGCAAAGGGAGGGAGGAGGGGTCCGCCATCCGCCGATGCCACGTGACGCCTGCACCGCGCCGCCAGCCTGGGGATCAACCACGCTTCAGCCGCGTGGGGGGGCCGGGGCCCCCCATGCGCAGAGGACACTCTCGGAGCACCGTGGCAGGACACCACATCGACACGCCCAGCACCCTGCCGCTGGCCTCCGCCCGCGGCAAAGCGGGTGCCGCTGGTCCCCCGCTCTACGTCCGCCGCATCACGGTGGCCTCCCGCCGCCGCCGCCCTCCGCCGCGCTCCACCGAGGAGGAGATGTCAACTCCCCCGGAGGCGAGGCCCTCTCTGGAACGCCAGAAAAGAAGGAAGACATTGGTTGCGCGCAGAAGGGGGGGGGCATGGGGCTCCTTACCCGATGGCTACTCATCCAATGGCTCCTTATCCAATGGTTTCTCACCCGCGGGCCCCAAGGATGCACACCACCACCTTCATCCCCCCTCCCCTCCTCCAGCCTCCTCCTTCGGCCACGCGCAGAGGGGGATAGTGAGAGGGGGAAGGCCTCTTGGAAGGAGGCTGCTTCTTAGAATGCGACAGCCTTCTCTATTGATGTAAGGCCGAGAATAGCTGCATGAATAAGTGCGGTCGAGTTGGGCCTGGCGCCGATCCGAGAAATCCGCGCAGGCCTCCGAAAGTCTATGTTATGCAGCTTGATCCTCCCCTGGAGACAGCGATGCTCAGAGGGGGCATCGACCTTGCATCGGCGCGACATCACCGATAGATCAGCGACGGGCCCCCGATAGCAAGTCCGCATGGTCCTGGGCGGTGAGGGCTCCTTGTCGGGCCCCCATCGGCAGTGAATTGGCGATGTGGCGTTGATGCGTCCCCCCCCGGAGCCTATCCCCCTGTCGGCGCTCCTGGCCTTCGGGTCACAAACTCGGCACGCTCCAGCGGCCGTTCGTGACGAGCTGGGCACCCCCGGAACTCTATCGGCGAGGCGCCGCTGCTGGAAGGCATCCCGAGGCCGGAAAACGTTCCAGAACCGACGAGCACGTCCGCAGACCTAGGACCTTCACCTACGCGACGGAACGAAATTGGTCTTACCCGCGATGGCGCAGCGACCTCACGCGGTTGCATACACGGGCCGCCAGCGTGGCACGCTGCATTGTAAGCGAGGGCGTTAACTACGAGCGACCTTGCGAGGGAAGTTTGTGAGCGAATGTCTGCGCAGTCGACCCCGCTTTCTTTCTTCCGTCCGCGCACCGCCCCCGCCCACGCCGCGGCCAGCGCCGGCTCCCCCACAGCCGCCGCCACGGCTGCCGAACATCGCCACCGCCGCCCGACCACCCGCCGTCGTCGTCATCGTCGTCGTCGTCGACGTGGTCCTCGTCGTCGCCGCCGTCGTCGTCCTCGTCCTCGTCGTCCTCGTCCTCGTCCTCGTCCTCGTCGTCCTCCTCGTCGTGGTCCTCGTCCTCGTCCTCGTCCTCGTCCTCGTCGCCGTCCTCGTCGTCGTCCTCGTCGTCGTCCTCGACCTTGTCGTCCTCGTCGTCCTCGTCCTCGTCCTCCTCGTCGTCGCTCCCCTGCCCGGCCCACACGCCTGGCAGCTGGATGCAGGAGCGGCCCGAGCTCTCCGCGGCGCTCAGCAGCGCCTCGGCGCCCTCGGGGCGCGCGCTGGCGGCCGCGGGGCCGTGCCACGCCGCCGCCGCCGCGCCGGCGGCCGCCGCGGCGAGGAGGGCGGAGGCCAGGCGCCCAGCGGGCCCGAGCGGGCGAGCGCCAGCGCGGACGGGCTCCGCCTCGCGGGAGGGAGGGGCCACGGCCGTTGTGGTGATGGTCGTTGTGATCGTTGTCATTGTGATCGTTGACGCTGTTCTCGCTGTCATCGTTGTGATCGTTGTCGTTGTTGTCGTTGTTACCGTTGTTATGGCTGCTGTCGTTGTTATCGTTGCCATCGTTGATATTGTTGACCTCGTTGTTGTCGATGTTATCGTTGATATCGTCGTCATCGTTGTTAGCGTTGCTTTTCTCGCTGTCATCCGCCTCCCTCACGAGGCCCCCCAAAACTGCCTCCAGTAGGCCCCGCCAGGCCCCCAAACGTCTCCCAAGACGTCCACAAGCATCCCCACATGATGCCCAAGAAGCCCAACACGCCTCAACCGTGGAATCCACGCCTATCCTGGGGGTCGGCAGAAAGGCGTAAGCATATTGAATATACACCACAACCGCCTTCCTCGCCCCCTCCTTATCCGAAAAAGAGTTGGCGGCGAGCAGAGGGGGGTAGGGTTAGGTCGGGCATGTCCCCCTACAGGCGGATTTTGGACGACAAAAAACAAATAGTAAAACAAAAGCCCCCAGAGGAGGGTTTGACTATTTTTGAATCTTCCTCCTGTAGAGGGACGTGCCCGACTTCAGGGTAGGGGGAGGGGACAAGGCTTCTTAGAAGGCGGCTGCTTCTCGGAAGGCGGCGGCATCACATACACAGAGGAAGGCCCGCGCCTTCTCTAAGAAGCAGCCTCCTTCTGAGAAGCCTTCCACCCCCCACCCGGGAAGAGGGGAGGGGGGATGAAGGTGGTGGTGTACATCCGTGGGGCCCACGGGTGAGAAACCATTGGATAAGGAGCCTTTGGATGAGGAAACATTGGACGAGGATCGAGGAACAGACAGTAGCGTACGCATCAACTGTCGAAAGACCGCGCGGCTCTCCTGGATCGACGCTGGACCCCCGGCCCTGGCGCGCGGAGTGCGCCAGGAGCAGCGCCAGAGGCGCCGCCGGGGGCAGGCCAGCGCCGATCCAAGAAATCCGCAGGGCCTGCGAAAGTCTATGTTTCTGACATGTTTGCTCCCCGAAGGGAATCCAGGGTCAGGAGGCTGGTGGAACTTCCATCAGGAAGCTGGTGGAACTTCAATCGTGGAACGGCCATGGATCTCACTGCCGCCCTCGTTAGGCAAGGAGTCCTCTAGAGTCTGCAGCTTCTTGGGCACATTCCTTTACCAACGCCCCCCCCGAACCCCCATCTAGAGCGACGAGATCTACGCATGTCCGCTGCGCCCTGGCCAGGCCCCTTCCAGAGCCGGGAGCGGTGCAGAAGCCCCCCGTGCCTGGCCAGAGGCGGGCGAAGGCACCGTTCCTGGGCCCAGGATCGGCCTGGCCAGGGGCAGCGGACGTACACAGATCTCGTCGCCCGACGATCCCGATGTCCAGGGCCGCCCCGGCGCCGCGTTCTCCGCGCCCCGCCCGACCTATCCCCGACAGGGGTGGTCGGATAGTGTGGGTCTGGACGGGGACGGGGATGGGGATGGGGATGGGGGCCGGTTCAACGATGCTGAACAAGTCTCCCTGCGGCGTCCCCGCGCAGTAGTAGCTCCGATCGGGGATCCCTTGGCCCGGGTCAGTGCACACGCACCCCGGTGAGTCAGGCCGTGCAGGATCCTGCCAGATCCTGCAAAATCCTGCACCCCAACCCGGGGTGAATAGGGACCCTGTAAAGGACGTACGCGCCCAGCCGTGTACATGAACACGGCCCCGTGACCCGCGAGACGTGCCGCGTGATACGAACACTCGTGCAGTGCGAACTCTCGAAAACAGCGTGGATTCATGTACGTGTACGTCCTTCTTTCGCTCCTGGGTGACTGCACACCCGGCTGCAGGACCTGGCTCTGCAGGCTCCTGCCAAATCTGGCGTTCTGGCGGAGGGAGGAGGAAGGGAGGAGGCGGAGGGAGGAGGAAGGGAGAGAAGGGAGGAGGGAGGGAGGAAAGGAAGAAGGGATGGAGGAGGGAGGGGGGAGGAGGTCGCTGGAGGGGGTAGGAGGCGAGGAGGCGAGGAGGGAGGTGAGGGGAGGAAACGGAGGAATGGAGGGAGTAGGTGAGGCGGACGGCGGGCGGGCGGGCGGGAATGCACACCCGGCTGCCGGACCTGGCTCTGCATGCTCCTGCCAACGTTCTGGCGCTCCGGCGGACCTCCGTTCGCACGGACCCCCCGTCTCGGGAGCCCCGAGGTCCGACCCGCCGCGCGACCGTTGGCGCTGCGGCAAGCTTCCTCCTCCTCCCCCCTTTTCCTCCTCCACCTCCTCTCCACCTCCTCCACGCTCCTCCTCCTCCTACCCCCCCTCCTCCTCCGCCTCCGCCTCCGCCTCCTCCTCCTCCTCCTCCTCCTCCCCTCCTCCTACCTCCCACCACCTTCCCCTCCCTCTCCTCCTCCTCCACCTCCTCCTCCATCCTCCTCCTCTCCTCCGCCTCCTCCTTTCCTCCTCCACCTCCGCCTCCGCCTCCTCCTCCTCCACCTCCTCCTCCTCCACCTACTCCTCCTCAACCTCCATCTCCTCTCCTCCTCCTCCTTCCTTCCTCCACCATCCTTCTCCGCCTCCACCTCCCTTCTCCTCTTCTCCTCCTTCTCCTCCTCCTCCTCCTCCACCTCCTCCTCCTCCTCCTCATCCATTCCTTGTCCTTATTGGAACAAATTCTCCCTGTCGCACCCCGAAGCCAGTTTTGAGGGCGGGCCGGGCGTTTCGCCTGAGACTTCCTCACCA